TTTTCCATTTTTTTCTTTGTTTCTTCCTTCCCCCCATCTTCACACCGCTACTCTTAACGATTTTCAACCAATTTCTTCATACTATTCGTATTGCAATCGTTACAGTCCACCGGCGTTCACCTTACCTAAAAGCTTGCCTTTCGCTTGCTTCCTTTCTCTCCCGCGAATTCACTTGCCCTGATCCTCCAGTATGAGCCTTTCCTGCTCTTCGCCACCGCAATCTGCCGTTCTGGCTTTCCCAGCTTCTCCTACCTTCGATAACAAGCAGTTTCAGCATCTTGAACATAGCGCCTCAGCCGGTACTACTTGTGACGCTGTACCGAACACTCCGATCTCTTCTCGTCAAGCGCCACCCACACCGCCGGATTCAGATTCGTCGCCGCCCAATAATATCCTTAGTAGTAGTGCATCATTTTCTTCGTCTCAGCCCAACCTTTCTCTCTCCCCGTCCCAAAAATTTAACATTGGCAGCCCCAAGCCCAGCAGTTCTTCGCATTCTAATACTATCTCTATGTCTACAAACCATGTTGTCACCAGACCAAATAATCCGTCCCTAAATCTACAGGAAAATGGTACGGCATCGCCTTATAGTCTTTCTACTGCAGTTTTATCCAATTCTCGTGAGGTTTTATTTTATCAGTTGTGATTCCCCTCGACTTACTCGCATTCCGTATCGGATTGCAGCCTCGTACAGCCTCTCTTGTCCTACAGGCTTGCAATTTTCGTATGACCACATGTTTCCTGACTCAAGCGACTCACAGTTGTCGTTGAGTCCCGATACGCCTTCCCAGCGCCTTCCCAGTGCATCTCGCGCATCACACCGTACCCCAAATATATATATCAATGGACTGCCCCCTCATTTTCCGGAGCAGGAACTCTTTGCTCTCACTCGCCCATTTGGCGAGGTGAAGAGCGTGAGGTCGTTCACTAGGCATGTGAGCGAGAAACCAACGTATGTCCGGTTCTGCCACGGCACGAAATTCTGAAGCTCACGTTCTGGTAAACAGAGGGTATGGCTTCGTTTTGTAGGTGGACATGTATTTTTGTGCGATTGTCCACCTCACATTCTTGCTAAGGTTCAGCGACGTCGATTCAGCAGAAAAATGTATCGAAGGTCTTCGTAAATATCGCAATCTACATCCGTCATTCTCAAAGGTCAACATTATTCTTCTTGTATGCACCCGTATTCTTAAAAATTCCCGATACAGCAAATCCATCGCATACCTGGTACAGTGTACGCTCAGCAAAGCCCCTCTCAAATAGAGCACGATGAAGATTCTTTCAAAGCGCGGATGGAAAAACTGAAGGATGGGTTATCCACCAACCTATACATTGAGGGGTAAGGTGACCTCGATATAAGCTCGGTTTGGTACTGAATAATTCTTTTCAGACTTCCGCTCTCGATTGATGAAGAGGTATGTGAAGCTGATGTCTACATATGCAACGTTATTTACATGCGAATACAGAGCCTTACTGCTTTGGTGCACCCTTACACCATCAAGAGCAGCCGTTTCTTTAAAACGAAGCTCAGTGAACCCCCTCGGATAATAGCCTTCGTTCGGTTAGTTTGTTCTGGAAATTGAAATTCTGTAATTGATCCACCTAGTATAGACTTGAGAATCGTACAGCTGCAGAGGATACCATCGAACGCCTGCATGGTCGAATGGTCCGTGGATGGAATGACCCTGGATGCAGGATTTCCGTTCGGTTTGCTGATAGTGCTGAACAACGGGAGCTAAGGGTCGGTCCCCTGATTGAGATGTGTTTTACTTTGAACTGATTCATGCGTCTTGCGTTAGCGATCAGAGAGAGTATCCAAGAATGGGGACCAGTCTCCAGCGCGTTTGACAATCGCTCAAGCTGCCCTTCTCAACCTTCGTGGCCAAGAGCTCCAAGCTCACGCTCGCAAGACCCATGTAAATCGTGCCCGTGACATCCCCATCATTGGTCAGCCTCGCGACGAGATTTCTCTATCAAGTATTCATCACTCCTATCCGAATCTGAATCCTCCCTCCGTGTCAGCAGGGAACATTCCCGTATCTACGTCTCTGCCAGAGCATCTTGGTTATCCGTATGACAGTTCCCCGTCGACTAGGTACCAGGACCTTCAGTCGAATCCCTACACTGATGACCTTCTGCATTCACTGCAACACAACCTGAATTTGACACACGCTTACACGGGGTCGACACTTGACCAAGAGCATGATGCCCATCGCGCCCACCTTCAAGCCCTCGCAAATGCAACGCTGTACACGGCTAGCGCCCAGCCATCTGCACAGCAGCCTCGCAGCCAGATACAAGCGAGGAACGGCTTCACTCCCGCAGAGGAGCTCATCCTCCAGGCTCACGCGAGGATACGTGAACAACAGTACCAACAGCTGCAGACCCAACAGCAACTTGTGCACCCACACGATCTCACTCTCCCTCGGCGCGCCTCTTCATCTGGACGATTAGAATCTGGAAGTAAACTCAATGCGAATGCGCAAGTATTCCACGCCCCGGAGCAGATCGCCACTTATCCACTCACTGGTCGAACCCTGGGTGGGGCAAACCGGTCGAAGTTCTTGGGCGACGCTCTACCGCCAATCTCCGAGGACGACTTCCATGCTCTTGGCCAACATCAGCTGGAGTCCAGGTCACATTATGACCATCTCCGCACCCATTATCAGAACGAGCTGCATTTCCGCAGTGACGCTGGCAACGTCAGGATCACGAAACCGCCTAGTCGTGCTATCGAAATTGTTGCGCCACCTCAGCACCTTGATTCCAAGTGTTCTCCTTTGCAGTTGCACCATCGTTCTCAGTTCTCTTCGCGTTCACACCTTTCTCTGCGGCAGCAAGCACAAGTCGCTACTCTCCCTCGTTCCCCTCTCGCATCGAATTCATCTCAGCACAGTTATCAGCACACGGACAGCCGCTCCAATAACCAAAACAGCACTATCGCTACGTCCAATACCAACGATAAACCCGACAGTGGTCCGCAGAACTATCTTCACTCGCCCCAAACATTCCAGCCCCGGTCAGATGATCAAGAGGACCATCGCCACAATTCTACTTCCGTGTCCTCAAAAGCATACGTTCCCGCGCAGAAGTCGCCTTCTTTGGTCCAACAACTATCATTCGAAAATGACATGAGGTCTCCTACTCTCGTATCTCCGGCGCTAACTTATTCGTCTCGCACCTCATCTACTCTCAGTCCGGCTACTCCTTTCCTCGGCTCATTCAACGGCAGCCCAGAGAATTTCGAGTACACGCCGGTCGATAGTGGGATGGTGGAGAAGGTGAAAGTCGGGTCAGGTACGCACTAGCTCGTCGTTCTCGCTCAGTGACAGTTTCCGGTGCATGTTATTTCCCATTGTGACGATTATAGTACTCTTTAGCATGATGTAACGTACACGATTGTTTCTTTCGTTTTCGTTTGATGTTCCCGGATAAGTATATTTTGATAACCATTATGCGCGAGTACGAATAGTTTTGTACCTACGCACTCTTAGTATTTCTTGAGATACAGCAGATATGATATGTCTATGTTCCTCATCAACCTGATCGCACGTGTAGTACTAATAGCTATATCAGTGTTGTCTATGGTATGCCATACGCGGTGATATGAATCACTGTTAGTTCGACCTCCATTGGGCAGACTAACACGTATCACAGTGCCCCTCAAGTTCTCAAATTATTTTGGGCTTCTGATCTATCGTCTTGCATAGGTCAATATCGTCAGGCCCCCACAGTAAATCGCGACCCGCGTGACAGTTTCAACTCTAGATGGCACAAGTGTATGTCTGTGGGAAAAATAAAGTATCTGGAGCCTCAGGCATGCGCAATTGTGTAACCTAGTAAGCTTCAAAAAACCCATGATCTACGTATCAGGATGCTGTGTAACATAGTTGAATGGATCAAGCGCCATGATATTGTAACATCTGAGTCTCTTGGGACGATGGACGTCGTCGAGGAGACCCAATTGTAACAAAGTCGTATTTTTAACTTTCCCATATTCCCCCTTGATACTGGTGTTGCACACATGCTATGTATCATGCCCAGCGATCATCGATCATCTCCCAGACCAGTGAGAAAAAATATAAAGAACGCTAATACACCGTGGCGTCGATGGCAACTTTGATGGTAACGTTGATGTAAGTAGCAATCTGATAAGTTCGATTTTTACACACCTGCCACACAACAAGTTGAAGGCAGCCTTCATCTCGGCACGCAGTTCCGAGTATTTTTATGGCCGTATATATATTGTGTTGTTTGCATTGCGCACCGTGGACCCTTGATGTGTTATGAAACAGATGCAACTGCACGGCGTTCAGCCTTATCATAGAATAAAAAACATCGCATGTACTTGCGCTGTGCTGAAACAGTCAGGTCACTGGACTAGCAACAAGCTGACAACGTGCTCCTGATGTTTCAGCAAGAAATCGAAACGTTACCACTGACACTAGCTTTGTAAGTCCATCGTATCGCCTGATGATATGTATATAATAATGTTGCAATAGCCTGAGTGCGGCAGGCATTCTCAACACACACCTTTTATATTGCATCATCGCCTCGTTGTAATGGATATCACTGAAAAACAGCAGTTGTGAGTCATACGCGCACAAATATCTTCATCTTGACATTAAAATCTACCAGGTTATTTCACTTGAACGCCGTTCTCGTGGCAAACAGTACCGGAGCTTTCCATCTTTGTTCTCAGGACGATAACAAATATCATAGGCATTCTGATGTACGATCATATAGTGACCCTCCCAGAAGAAATCGCGTTTATTTGGCGTCGTCCGAAATTACTGTCTGCAACGTTGTTTCTCGCCAATCGCTATGTTGCCCTGGTGGGAAATATCTTTGGCTTGTTTATCGATTTCTTGCCCGCAGTTTCGGATGAGGTTCGATAATTTTGTGATGCATCTACCCAGATGGCAGACTTACGATGTATCTATTTTTGCAGAGGTTTCAGCCCTTCTTTGAATATATATTGTTGTTCTTACAAAAGGTTTAGCTGTTCGAGATACATGCTAGTCAGAGAGCTGTTCCTTTATCTCCAACAAATCATTGTTTGCGGTGAGTAAAAAGTTGATCGCGAAAGATACATGCCCTGAAAGATTTCAGTTATATTGACTCTGCGCGTTTACGCACTGTACGGTCGTAGCAGGCGCCTGCTCAGTTATATAGTAATCATCGGTCTTGCTCTTATAGGAGGAGCATCAGTATGTGTTCGCATATCCTTTTGCACTCTAGATTCTGTTGATCTTTTTAGGCGGGTTCTTTTGGAAATAATTCAAATACCGCGATTTACATCCAAGGAAGTGATTGTCATAACACATTCACAGCAAAGACGTATGTCATTCCCTTCATCGGTATGCGTGCCTGCTCAGAAGTCACGACAGAGCCATGCGTCAGTGAATTCTCAGCCACGTTGCATGCAAGTTGATGATGCTACTACCTTATCCACTTGCAGGTCATGGATTGGGTTGGATTGCAGTTTTTATCTTCGAATTGCTTATCTTTGTCCTTACAGTCTTCAGGACTTGCAAGACTAGGGGATCTCCGCGGTTGATTCCATCCAGTAGAAATATCATTGATATCATATTTCGAGATGGTATTTCTTTCGTTGCACCTGTAGTATAAATTCTGAAACAAGCAAATGCAGGTGCAATGTATTTCGCGTAAGATTGATAGTGAAACTGTGATTCGAGTGAAACTGATCTGCGTTGATTTAGAGCGATGTCATCGATTAATCTACCTAACATCCTGACATACTACGTAAGTCAACAGATAATATATCAATTAAGTCGCACACTCACAACATCATGCATCATGGTTTAGTGTGGTTCAGTGAGCACACACTGCATCTTACAATCGGGTTGGCTACTTCCTAACAATTGACAAGGATATCACCGGAGGGAATCTAGCCACATTTACTGGTTGGTGAGTGATTGATGCGATAAACAGGAATCGATTTTGAATAAGATACCTAGCATGTCCGTCACTCTCGTCTCTCGACTGGTGCTTCACCTGCACAAATCCACGGATGACGGAATTTTATCCACTGCCATCCAGAACGATGGCTCCAGCCCCAATGTCTTTACCACTAGACTCGATGCCGAATTCTCTTCTCACAATTTTTAAGCTGATTCTGGTTGATTGGATCCTGTTCCTGGTTGCGAAATTTCTTCGCTTTTAGTTAGCGTGTTGTAATTTTACAGACGATATGTAGAAGAATTCATTCTGATGATTACCATGGATATTTTTCCAATTCCCAGCTGGCACCTAACGCGGTGAATGCATTGAGGTTCGAGGCATATATGTTCAATCAGTAGACCTGTGCACGCTGCAACTAGCGGAGTTGTATCATAAAGGAGCGGAACTTACCGAAAAATACGACCGTCGGACATGTTCGCTTCCCCAGAATGAATCTATATCTTTCTATCCTAGGGTATAAGAACTTGTAACTATTCTCAACAGAACGTGCAAGATATACCTGGTGGACGTAGCTGGATAAGGCGGTTAACACTATCCGATTCCGAATTCCGGACCGCCGACCAGTGTGCTGATTTGTGCTAGTGCTGCACTGTGTGTCCTAGTCAAGGCCCCGTTTCACCGAAATAGTCGATTTTGTCCCCTTGTCCTCGGACCGCCATGGGCTGTAAATGGACTAGTATCTTGGAACATCGCCCTCTCCGTCCATTGCAACTCAGTTTACCGAATGTGATCGCCCTTGCTGGGTACAGTGGATTAGTGATTGGTGATCGTGGAGGAGGCGGCGGGCTATATAGTACAACGCCAATATCAAACCTCTAACATTCCGGTCAATCTCAGGTTTCAACACCCCTTCCTCTTGTGATATCGTCTTTCTAATGTATACTATTACTGACTTGGAAGCGCAGCAGGTGTGAGTGGTAAACCCATTGGTTTACTATGTATGCTGATCGCGAACTAACATTCCAATTTGCCAGGTCGGTGTACCTGTACATCCTTTTCGCATCAATCAGTACTACGACTTTTCATCTTGATTCTCAAGACGATAACTGAAGACTTTAGGTGTCCTGATATACGATCACGTGGCAACCCTCCCAGAAGAAATCATGTTTATCTGGCGTCGTCCAAAAGCAATGTCTGCAGTGTTATTTCTCATCAATCGCTACCTCGCCGTTCTCAACAATATTCTTGCCTTAATGGGCAGTTTCCTACCCGTTTCACCTGAGGTGCTACATTAATGTTGTGCGTGTATTCGACTGGCAGACTCACTTTATCTCCGCAGAGGTTTCAACTTTGCTTTCTTGAATATCTATTATGTTGCTCAACAAAGACTTAGCTGTTCGAAATACGTGATGGTCGTAGATGTGTTACAGTTTTTTCAGCAAATTTTCATTTGTCGTGAGTTAGAAGTGTATCACGAGAAAGACACGCTGAATGTGTCAAATTTTCAGTCACATTGACTCTTCGCACTTATGCTCTCTACGGCTGCAGCAGGCGCCTGCTTAAATGGATGCTAATCATCGGCGTTGTTCTTCTGGCAGGAGCGTTAGTACGTGTTCACGAAGAATTTTGGACTTGAGAGTCTGCTGAATTTCAAGTTTTAGGCGGGAACTTTTGGAGATGATTCAAATGCTGCGGTCTACGCTGGCGACTGCCATGAAATATACACTCCAGCAACGTATGTCATTCCCTTCATCATTCCACACGCCTGCTCAAAAGTCCTGCCAGATCTGTCCGTCAGTGCACTCTAAGTCATATCTGGATGTATATTGATGGTGCTACGGAATTATCCAATCGCAGGTCATGGGATGGCATGGGTGGCAATGTTTATCTACGAACTGCTCATCTTTGTCCTCACAGTCTTCAGGGCCTGGAAAACTAGAGGATTGCGGTTCTCCCTAATATCCAGGAGAGATCTCCTTGATGTCATATTCCAAGATGGTATTTTTCGTCGCACCAGTATTGTAAACACTGAAACAACCGAGCGTAGGTGTGATGTACTTCGCGTGAGAGTGCTAGCGAAACTGTGCGAGTGAAGCTGATCCGCTTTCTCTCTCAGAGGGATGACATCAGTCAATTTACCCAACATTCTGACGTACTTCGTAAGTCAGCGAATGAAGTATAGTTCAGTCGCACACTCACACCATGATTTAGTGTGGTTCAGTGAGCATACCCGCATGTTTCACCAGGTTGACTATTTCCTGACGATTTGCAAGGAAATCATCAGAGGCAGCCTGAGTTCATTTACTACTTGGTGAGTAGTTGATGGGATAAACACAGAACGACCCTAATCATGACCCTCAGCATGTCTGTCACTCTCATCTCTCGCCTGATGCTCAACCTGCACGGATGTGTCGACACTGGCATTTTTTCTTCCCCTGCCGAGACCAGCCTCGAGGTCCTTACCACCAGGGTCGACGTAGAGTTTGCGATTTCCTCGGACCATTGGTAGGCTGGTACTGGATTCTGTTTATGGATGTGAAGTGTCGTTGGAAATTAAAAACGGTTCTTTGAGTCTTTTTCTTGAACGCAGCATGGTATGCGGGCTCGATATCTATGTAGAAACGGCTCATTTAGTGTGTATAGTGACGACCTGTTTCCATTCCGAAGTAGATTGACTCCCAACAGGGCCGAGTCCCTGAACATGTCAATTACTGATCACTAGCTAAGAACTCAACCTTTTCCTGGTTTGACCACTAACGCGTACGTTCTACACCTTGTCACAAAGTATCCTCGCCTTAATCCTCGCTGTATGAATATTACTCTATCCGGAGGTCATTCGAGGGTTTGGGCAGCTAACTAGGGCTCTATACAGCGAGGATCAGGACGAGGATAAGTATTATGCGACAGTGGAACGTGCGCGGTAGTGGCCAAATCAGGAAAGTCCAGGTTTAGTGTCCACGTAAGTCGTTTACGGAAGGACGGCCGTAAGGTTAAGTCGCATTAACAATGGGTCAATTCAGGCCTGAATCAACCAGGCCTTATAGTACCAATGACAAATTTTTCCAGTCGATATCGAGTCTCAACACCCCTTCCTCCTATGATATTGTCTTCCTAATGTATACTACTGACTTGGAAGCGCAGCAGGTGTGAGTAATAAACGCATCGATTTACTATGTATGCTAATCGCGCACTGACATTACTACAATTTGCCAGGTTAGTGCACTTGTACACCCTTTTAGTGGCAATCAGTACTGCGACTTTTCATTTTGATTCTCAAGACGATAACGGAATATTTTAGGTATCCTGCTATACGACCACATGGTAACCCTCCCGGAAGAAATCATGTTTATCTGGCGTCGTCCAAAAGCAACGTCTGCAGTGTTATTTCTCATCAATCGCTATGTCGCCGTTCTCGGCAACATGCTTGATCTAATGAGCAATTTCCTACCTGCTTCTACTAAGGTTCTACAATCTTGTGCATATATTCAACTGACAGGCTTACTTTATCCCTGCAGAGGTTTCCACTTTGCTTCTTGAATATCTACTAGTTTACTCAACAAAGACTTAGCTGTTCGAGATATCTGTTGGCCGTACATATGTTACGTCTTTTCCAACAAGTCTTCATTTGCCGTGAGTTAAAAGTGTATCACGAGAAAGACACTGAAGTTTTAGATTCTCAGTCACATTGACTCTTCGCACTTATGCTCTCTACGGCTGCAGCAAACGCCTGCTTAAATGGATGCTAATCATGGGCGTTGTTCTTATAGCAGCATCGGCGGTATGTGTTCACGAAAGATTCTAGACTTCAACTCTGCTGAACTTTTAGGTGGGAGCTTTTGGACCTAATTTAACAAGGAGTGCGATCCACAACGGCTACTGCCATGAAATATACACAACGGCAACGTATGTCACTCCCTTCATCATTTCACATGCCTGCTCAAAAGTCCTGTCAGATCTTTCCGTCAGTGCATTCTAAGTCACATCTGGGTGTAAATTAATGACGCTACGGAATTGTCCAATCGCAGGTCATGGGACGACATGGGTGGCAATGTTTATCTACGAATTGCTCATCTTTGTCCTCACAGTCTCCGGGACTTGGAAAGCTAGGGGATCGCCGCGCCTAATATCTAGGAGAGATATCCTTGATGTCATATTCGAAGATGGTATTTTCGTCGCACCGATATTGTAAACACTGAACCAACCGAGCACAGGTGTGATGTACTTCGCGTGAGAGTACTAGCAAAAATATGCGAGTGAAACTGATCCGCTTTCTCTTAGAGGGATGGCATTAGTCAATTTACCCAACATTCTGACATACTTCGTAAGTCAACAAAAAAAAATTATTCAATCGCACACTCACCATAATTTAGTGTGGTCCAGTGAGCACACATCCGCATGTTTTCACCAGGTTGACTATTTTCTGACAATTTGCAAGGTTATCATCACAGGCAGCCTGAACGCATTTACTACATGGTGAGTGGTTGATGGGATAGACACAGAGCGACCCTAATTACGACCCTCAGCATGTCTGTCACTCTCATCTCTCGCCTAATGCTCAACCTGCACGGATGCGTTGACACTGGCATTTTGTCCACCCCTGCTGAGACCAGCTCCCATGCCCTTACCACCGAGGTCGACGTAGAGTTCGAGGATTCCTCCCACGATCCGTAGGCTGGTATTGAATTCTGCTTATTGATTCAAAGTGGCGGGACTCTCGTTGGAAGTCACAAACTACTCTGTCCTTTTGAATGCAGCGTGGTATGCGTGCCAGTGCTCGATAAATGTATATTTGGAACATCTCGTTTATTGTTATCTTTGCCCTAGGATTGTATATAAATAGACCATACGTACATGATGCATTATTGGCTAATTGGATTACCCAAACGTGTTCATCCGTGCGGTGGTGTGCCGGTCGTTAAGTTTTGCTGTTTGCAATTGGTAAACTCTTAACCATGATACGCCAGGTCCAACATAGCCTCCTTTTTTGGACATGTAACAACCAACAAGTTTCAAACTACCCTCCTCCACTAACGTCGTAGGAGTCTGGGACTAGTTGCAGGCAGTAGTCTGGCTTAACGGTGGTCTTGGTCCGCACGAAAGAATGAGCGGCAGTTGATAACCAGACCAGTATACTGTACTAGCGGTCCTAACACGGTCATAACTCAAAACATGTCATGATCAATTTGCCACATCTTCAACGACCATGAACTCAACAACTGCACGATCAGGCTACACAACCTGAATCAAGTTCATAACGCCATCCAAGTAGTAGCAAAACAACAGTGCGTTAAACCACAACGTCCAAAATCATCACACCGCACATTAGGCCATAAAGCTGTAAAAAACTGACATTCCCAAGGCAGTTAAATGTTCCACGAAGTGGAGGGTCCTGAAGAAGAAAAGATAATAAACAAAGGGATATCTGTATCGGAGTCCAAGTCCAAGAATGAATTAGGCGACGACCAAGCCAAGAGCAAGAGCAGCGACCATGCTCATGCCTACAGGAACATATTCCGCGAGGGCACCACCAGTTTTGGTGGCTTGTGCAGCCCCAGCGGAAGCACTCCCGGTAGAAGTACTGCCTGCGCTGCTGGTGGTGGTGGGATAAGACGAGCCGAGAGCCTTGATTTCGAAAGGCTGGCTTTGGGCATAGATCTGTAATATAAAAAACATTGAACACGATTTGTCAACAAGCCTGAGAAATGTTCACGCACGTCAGTCTCGTTCAGAGTACTGGCAAACTGAATAACGTAGCCGGAGCCAGCGGGCTGCGCGGATTGCTGCTGGGTGATGGATTCGGAACAGTCAAAGTTTTGCTGAACGGCGATGATGGCAAGGGGTGCAGGGAGAACAGAGAGGTCCGAGTTGGCGAGACTACAAAAATGTGTCAGTTGAGCGGGCTCTCACGCGCATCAAAGGAGACCGTGCGCACAGAATGGTGAAGTTTAGATACGGAGAAGTCGTGCACGACCACGCGAGTGTGTTCACCGACGACGCGACTACGAACAGAGAATTGACCAACGAAAGCCAAGAAGGGTGCACATTAAGTCATCAGCATTGCGACTCAGATCTGGGATCCTGGGTACTCACCCCACCAGTCATTGGCACCGGGAGACGTGATGGTCAACTGTCCAGACACAACACTGAGCAAAGCGGCGCAAGTGAGGGCAAGACGGCGGAACATGGTCAAATTTTTGGTGTGGAGGGAATGTGTAAAGACAGAGGACACAGCGATTTTAAACGAGCGAGTGATTTGAGGAAACGAGCAAGGCTTAAAATACTCCGCAACATCCACACCCGAATAATTTATGATTTATTCTCCGACAAATTTCATCAGTTGCCGTACACGTGCCGAAATAACATACACGAAGTTACAACGATGTTTTTTTTATTCGCGGTATTCATCATACATGATATAGTTATAAATACCGACATCTAGTTATACAGCCCGACCTATTCTTGGGTGTGAATATCGTGAGGAGTTAGTTACTGTGATACAAAGAACCTTAGTTCCGAGGAATATAAGGAAAGACTGGGTGATTATGACCTGAGGCCGGCCTCAGGACGTTGAAATGAAGTACGGAGACGGAAATGAAATCATCCATGCAATGGTCTTTGAGCGAATGAAATAGTCATGTGGGGGAAAAGTGGGCGTGTGTCGAGAGTGCTTACGGTCCCAGGACACCGATAATAGCACCAACCATAATGCCAACCATAACGAGAAAGATCAGGAGTGCCCAAGCGGATTTTTTAGCCCACTTGACCTCAGCATCTCTCATGATCCGGACCAACTCCTGGCGCTCATCCTCAGGCTTCGTTGGCTCAAAGTCAGCAGGGGCCTCGAGTGGCAAGAACAGAATGAATGCTCCAAGTACCCAGAAAGGTGGGAAGACTGTGAGATTCGATTAGATAAATATAATAGGTGCAGAGCAGATGCAATACTCACAAAATCCACGTTTGAATAGATACATAGCAAGCGTCACAGGCTCTGCAGGAGCGGAGCTGTATGCTGGAGGCTCAGTGGCATCTGTATATGGAGGAGGCGCGTCTCCATCCAAAGCCATGGGAATGCGACTAGGAGTGGCATAAGAGTCATGGCGACTCTCGCGAGTCGCACGAGTGCGAGTGACCCCGAAAAAGACATCCATGGGATCTGTGGTATCGTCATTCTGCTGAGGTGTATGCGTAGAGGTAGCAGCAGAATGAGCTGCCTGGATGGCAGTAGGAAGAGTGAAGGAGGCCTGTGCACCAGTCACAGTTTGTGCCTCAAGATCAATGTCAACCGAGGATAGAGAAGTCTTGCGCCAGTTGCCAAAGACAGTGGAGATTCTGGAAGAGGTAGACATTTTAAAGCTCGTGGTTGAGAAAGATTCTTCGAGTGATAGAGGTAGGTTTCGTGGGGCTGTCAGAAGGCGTGGCGGGGCTGGTTTGTTGGGATGATAGGACGAACATGGCCCTAGATATATAGCGAGAGTTGAATACGACGAAAGAAGGCAATCGAGAGAGCAATTGCCTGCGGACCAACAAAAGAAGCCAGAAAAAAATGCGCCGAGGAAATTCGCGCTGGAAAATTGACTTATTTAGTAATTGCCATTGGCATGTTTTCCAGCACGTTTGGACCCACGAGGATATATAAGTGCGGCGCAAACGCATCAAGCGAGGTTTTCAACACTGACATCGGATATACATTTGCATTCTGCTTTCTTCCGCATAATTTGTCTGCAGCACGTTGAGTATAATTAGGATCAGAGAAGTGGGTAACGAGCCCAACGATCAATGAATCCTTGTGCTCAAAGTAGAAAATTACCTGAAATGGTAAATTTTGTAAGCAATCCCATTGCTCTCGATCAATGATTTAACTTCTTAACTCTGCCTCGTGTTGATTTTTGATTGATTGTCGATTTCGCTTGCGGCAATGGACAGCATCTTCGCCCACTGCCCATCGTGAAAGGCTCAATTACAATACATCTATGCTGTAACAGCCTTATACGACCATGCACAAGCCACAGTTGCTTGCCACTTCACTTTTACTTCCGTAGCCTATCCACGCTAGAGCGCTAACACTGAGTATCGTGAACATATGTTGGGAGCCCCCACGATCATGACGGGCTCGCACAAGACTGCAAACCGCAAGGACGAGCACATGTACAATAAATATTAGCTAATAATTGGTATATCTAAGGCACCAAAGATGGCAATAAATAAATGAAATTTCTACATACATTAAGCACCGCCCAGTGCTGCGCTTAAGAAAACAACTAAAAGAACAGCCTTCCGCCTCAAGGGAGAAGCCCCGCCACTCCGCATCCAGGAGCAGAATCCAATATCGCCTATCAATTGTGGGAAGAAAACGTGGACTGTACATCGATCCTGGTGGTAAGGACGGCGAGGCTTGGGCCATCGTCCTGAGCAGGGATGGAGAAAATGCCAGCATCGAAAGTCTGGTGCAGGTTAAGCATCAACCGACAAATGAGAGTCACAGAAATGCTACACGTCATATTTAATATCAATCCGTGCGTATCACACCAACCACTTACCAGCCAGTAAATGTGCAAAAAGTCCCTCTCATGCCAACCTTGCCAATTGTCAGGAACACTGAAGCTAAATACAAGGTGAGCGATTTGTATGCTCACCGAACCGGACTGATACAAGTTGTGAGCATTCCATGATATCGTCAATATTCGCTCAGCGACTCACGTAGTACGACAGGATGTTCGGTATATTGGTCAGTGTCATCGCTCTGGAATAGGGATTAGAATCACTCAAATCACTATCTCGTCAGCAACCTCACCCAAAAAACATCACACCTGGATTCGGTTGATTCAGTGATTACAATATCAATACAGATACAATGAAAGATTCACCATCGTGAAACATGGTATCGATGATATTTTCCCTGGAGAATGCAAACAGCCACAGCAAGCCTCTAATTTTGCAATACCTGTGCACTGTGAGTATGAAGATGAATAAATCGAAGATAAACTCGGCCACATATGCCAGTCCAATTCCTGCAATCAGATAAGGTCATGACATCGAGCTGTATGTAAATGTGACTTAAAAATCACTGACGGATGGCTCTGTAACAACTTTTGAGCAAGCACACAGAATGAGGATGAGGACGACATACACTGTTTTTGAAAATGTTTCATCGCAGCCAATTCCTGGCACAATGACCAAATCGTCTGAATATTGTCCAAATGTATTCGCCTAGAAACGATTAGTAGACTCCGGAATCCAAAGATCTACGGAGACGTACACAACACACTCCCGCAAGAGAAACCATGACGATTACCATCCAAGCAAGCAGGCGCTTGCTACAGCAATAAAGAGCATATGTGCGCATAGCCATTGTGACTATAATTTTACCATGTATCATGATGTGAATTTCTCGCAACAAACCTGTACTCACTGCAAACGATTATTCCCTGGAGGAAAAGAGCCAGTTCCCTGTATAGCGAATAATTCCGACAGCTAAGCTTTTACTAAGCAAAACAACATGTTCAAGAACCAGAGCGAACCACACCTCTACATAAGTTGTGAGCATGCCAGTTCAGTACACGCATAATGAAATGACAGAACCTCATCTGAAATCATAGGCTGAAAATCCACGATTAAGCTGGAGATACTGGCGAGCAGAGCGGTATAACGATTGAGCAGGAATAACATCGCCGACAGGGTTTTCGGACGACGCCAAATAAAATCGATTTCTTCTGGTAGGGTCACCATATGGTCGTATATCAGGATACCTAGAATATCGTGTTATCATCCTGATACAGAAGAAAATAAGGTTGAGTACTGTTTCCCGCCAGGATGATATACATGTTGAACAGCCTGTAAATGTTCAGTCGCCGTCAGGACACACACTGAATCTATGTGTGTATCACTCACACTTGCTGCATTTCCGAGTTAGTAACGTCCATCGCGACGAGGCAAAATTCAACAGAATAAAGGCGTTGAGAATGTGATCTGTTATATACAAGCCAAATACTGCCCGTAATGAGATTAGCCCTCGACTCCAAAATCAAGTTTTAGACTTAATATAGTGTTGTACTATACATTCCTGTAGATGTTTCATGTGGGCCCGGTGTTGGCCCGTTCAACCGACGAGATTCAATGATGGGCTGTGCGGTTACAGGGCTTCTTCAAGTTGAGAACGAGGAACATGATCACCATCGTGATCAAGGGGTATCCGAAAAGAAGAGTTAGCAGCGTATAGTACTTGCTTCAGAAAGTTGATGGCACCACCTTGATGCAAGTCTCGAGATAGCTGGTGCACGTCGTCGCTGTAAGGATCGTATATATCCTCTACGCCCCGATCACGACTTCAAAAAGAAGACCGTGACGCCCAAAGTCATCCACGTGATTCAGTAATGCGAAGAGCATCCGAGGGGCCGAGGCCCGATCACGCCGTCCTTTCCTACCTTGTGCTCAGATTCCACGATCTCCTTGCTTTGATCTTCACCATATGCTCCATATGCTCGTTCTGGCCCAGTCAACTATCCGAAAACATATATATACAGCCCATGCACACTCATCTACAGCAGAATCTCATACATTGGTTCCCCGCTCAAAAGCACACCCGAACGCTCCAAAGGAGGTCTCCGTCTCATCTTGTTACCCTTCACGCTATCTACCTAAAACGTCTCATAACTACGTCGATCTGTTCAAACCTTCTATCATCTTCGCCTGTCTCATAACAATTCGATCTGTGCTCAATCCCCTTCGAACTCATAGTCGGCCTTACATCGTTAAGTGACTCTAAAATAGGGAATCAACGGGGACAGGATTCCCTCGTTGAAAGGCTTGATTACAGTTTCATTTGATTACGGACGACTATATGATAATTAGCACGATGAACATACAGATTACGCGAGATTCGACTACAAGAACAGCTTTTCACTCCTACCAAGTATCTCCGCCACTTCACATCCAGAAATAGAATCCAATGCCAGCCTAACAATGGTGAGAGGAAATTGCGGACTGTAGGTTGACCCTAGTTGTGAGGACAGCGAGGCTGGGACCTTCGTCCTGGGAAGGGATGGAGAGAATGCCAGCGTCCATAGATTTGTGGAGGTTAAGCATCAGTCGAGAGACGAGAGTAACGGACAAGCTGGATGTCATGTCATAAATAACATCAATTGCTTATTGCATCAACCACTCACCAGCTAGTCAATGTGGAAAGACTGCCTCTAATGTCAACCTTGCCAATCGTCAGGAAATAGTAAACCTGAATATGAGATCCGGCTGTATATGCTCACTGAAGCAGACTGATTCAAGCTGTAAGCGGTTTGTGACGCCATCGATGTTCATTCGTTCACTCACGTAGTACGTCATGGTGTTCGGTACGTTGACAAGCACCATGGCTCTGAGGGCATGCGGATGATCAAATCAGAACCACTTGAATCATGATCCCAAGTAGTAACTTCACCCGAAATACATCGCACCTGCATTTAATTGTGTCAGCGTGCACAATTCAGATGCAGTAGAAAATTCACCATCGTGAAATATGATATCAATGACATCTCTCCTGGCGACTAGAGAGAACCGCAGCAAGCGTCTAGTTTTGAAAATCCTGTACACTACCAGAATGAAGATCAATGATTGGAATATCATGTCTGCCACCCATGCCAACCCAAGACCTGTAATTGGACTCGAATAAGATTGTGACATCGAGTTACATGCAAATTAGCCTTGGAATTCACTGACGGGCGGCTCTACAACAACGTTTGAATAGGCACACAGAAGGGTGAAGAGGATGGCGTACGTCGCTGCTGTAAAAGTTTCATAGCAGCCAACTCCAGGCAAAAGGACCGTATCGCCTGAAAATTGTCCAAAACTTCCCGCCTAGAAACCATCAGTATAAGAGTGTAAAATTCTACGTGAAGACGCACAGAAACTGCTATCGCAATAATAATCATTATGCCTGTCAACCAAGTAAGCAGGCGCTTGCTGCCACCGTAGAGAGCATAAGTGCGAATGATCATTATAACTTCAATTCTCAGTATATGAAGTTCTCGCAATAGTGAATTTTTACTCACAGCAAACAACCACTGCTTGGAAAATGACAGATAATTCTCTGAATAGTGCATACCCCAAACAGCTAAATCTTTGTTGAGCAATATTCAAGAACCAGAGTGAAACACACCTCTATAGAGAAATAAGTTGTGAGCCTGACAGTTTAGTATACACACGATGAAATCATAGAACCTCATAAGAAAGCGGCGAATCACTCATAGCTATATTGGTGATATTGACGAGCAGAGCGGGATAGCGATTGAGCAGAAATAACATTGCAGACAGAGATTTCGGACGACGCCAAATGAAAGCGATTTCTTCTGGTAGGGTTGCCATATGGTCGTATATCAGGATACCTAGAACAACGAGTTATCGTCCTAAGACCAAAGATAAAGCTAAGCTTCATTACTGTTTCCCGCCAGAACGGTGTACGTGCGAAATAATCTGTAAATATTCAGTCGCTATCAGCTGGTCAGGATGCATGATCAAATTACGTGCGCATCACTCACATTGCCTGCGCTTCCGAATTATCCATCAGTACGATGAGCCAGAATGCGACAGAAGACTTTGTTTGAGAGTGTGAAACGGTCTGTTATATGCCAACCGTGGCCCGTGACTGCGATAGTACAAGCCTGCAATCAAACACTTCCAAGAAACTGGCAAATCGACGACTTTATATGATGCTGGAGCTGCGTGTTGCTCCATCAACACATCACTGATCATAGCCACCATGACAATCGACGGGGATCAAAAAGTGAAATTGGCGGAGATACGGTATACTTCATTTTCGCAAAAGGGCGTAGATGCATCTGTAAGCAATTAGTAGCTATCAGGATACATGGCCATGCATCAGCATTTCAAGTAGTGTGTTACTACTGGCCTCGCGTTTGATCGATCTTCGCCATTAGAAGATAAATGCCATTTAATTATGTGCTGCAACACAGGAATAATGCCATCATGGAGATCGAGCATCACGCTGGGCCAAGATCCAGGTCGGAATAGTCACTGCTTGTCTTGAAGGAGTCATACGAAAGAACAGCAACTCGGTGTTGATGGCAACTTGGAACTCTGCTCCGACTCCGTGAGAGTAGAGCGAGCGGCTGTGCAGCACGTGGCTTCCGGCCACTCACTCACACAGCGAGGAGGGCATGTAGGAATTAATGGCCGGACTGCGAAGACTGCGCATACTCCGCGCCAAAGTCTGGGGATCGGATAGTTCCGGGCGGTCCTTGCAACTACACTAACGGTCTACGTCATGCACCATGGGCGGCGCCCGCCCCCATCACACACGTGGCATCCTGGCATCTATTTCAACCACCATCTCGTCATCATTGTCAGCTTGCTATCGCGGTTCCAGTCACCTGGAGGGAGGACATGGCGGCAGCCGTACCGCATGCAATAGAGCCGAGGAAGTAGTAGACAGAGATGCAGGCGTGAGGGACTTGTAGGGATAGGAAGAGATTGAGGTAAAGATCCTGGTGTGGCAGGCAAGTGGGATAGAGGTTGGGCAGGATGATAGTGACATCGTACGGGGCCTTGACAGACTCCCTGAATCCGAGCAACCACACTGACCAGACATAAGTCTACATCCAGTTTGCGTGAATATTACGCAGACTGGCCAAATCCTGCACTTTCTGCACACAGCGCCCATGCTACACTCCAGCAAGCTCCGGTGCGCCTGCCGCAAAATCACGGTGAGTTCTGATGGCTCATATTCTTGTGTGCGTCCGATGCAATGAATGCAATTCCGGCGGGGACGCCGGCCATGAGTAGAAAGTCTCTCGAAACCGCTCTCTCAAGCTTACTCGTGTAAGAACTTCACCATTGCGAACTCTTGTCAGGTTTCTCGCCAGAGAACCTGATAAGGGGAGGAATCATCCACCAAGTTACGTTGATACCTTCTGCCAGTAGCGAGCGAAAGCGCTGTCCTTACCAACACCTGCCGCTGTGCGCATGTGGATTCTCGCACTTTCGTGAACGCTGACACCTTGCTACTTTTGTTACGAATTCCTGTCTGTTCATCTAGCCTGGGCGGCTCTTTTGATTTAGGGATCTGACTCAGGTTGCATCGCATTTACTCCTATTGATGTGCTCACCTCGGCCCACTTTGTGAGATATTTTCACTTACTATTTGCTTGTAATTGTGTGCAAGAGAAGTACCTATGAATAGAACACTGATTGCGGACATTATAAACGTAACCTTCATGAATCTACGATCATCTAATCTCTGCGATTGAATTGCATATCGATAAGAATCATAAGTACTGGTTTTCTCACAACGTATACAAGTTATTCGTAACGAATAAAAGTAGTATTCTTCTTTCTCCGAACCTTTCTACATTAGTCGCATGTCTTACAGTGTACCGCTAGCGGCGATCTTGATCTCGGCCTTAGGCTTGCCAGTGTCAGTCCCGTACTTCTCAATCGTCTTCACAAGCTCAAGGCCCTCGATGACCTCACCTGATGTATAAGTTAGTTCTAGTCGACAGCTGCTCGATGAAGATTCTTACCGAACACTACGTGAGCACCGTCGAGCCAGCTAGTGACGATGGTGGTAATGAAGAACTGCGAGCCGTTGGTGTTCTTGCCTGCGTTTGCCATGGACAAAAGTCCAGGCTTAGTGTGCTTTAATTGGAAGTTTTCATCTATAATATCACGATTAGATGGGCTGTATTCCGAGTACCACTATGACCCTCACCAGCAAACTTCTCGCCGTAGATGGACTTGCCACCAGTTCCGTTGCCCCTGGTGAAGTCACCACCCTGAAGCATGAAGGATGGGATGATACGATGGAAGCCAGAGCCAGCATATCCGTAACCATTTTGGCCAGTGCACAACTCGCGGAAATTTCTTGCAGTCTTTGGTACAACGTCATCAAAGAGTCTGAAAACAATGCGCCCAGCATTGTTACCGTTGATGGTGATGTCGAACTATAAAATCAGATAGGTCAGATATAAATCCCTCATCGCGAATAACGCCGATATGACACTCACGTAAACGTTGGCCATGATGGATAAGAGAGAGACTTGAGATTGGAGGTTTGCGGGAGCTTGCTCTGATAAAAGGGAAAGTCGGACGATGCCGATCTGAGTCGGAGATGATCATCGGATCTCGGAAGTGATTATCTGCCACCGTGCGTGGGGAGATTTTTCCGAGGCAGTTCCGTGATCACAAACGGTCAGCCGCCACAAGCCGCGGCCTGTGCCATCCAATTTGAATCGTAATCACTGGCCCCTATAAGTATTCGTATACGCGCGTCATCGATCTAGCTGCTGAATATTCGACTGAAGAATCCAAATTTCGGTAGCTCTGCCTCATCTTTGTATCTGATTATAATCCTGCCGTCCCGAGACACAACCTTGAGCTCGTCCCCATTCCAATCATTGCCAAACAATCGATGCGAAACGTCACCGGTGTCACCGACGAAATATCGCCGCGTATGCTCAACAGTGCTTAACATGGTGCTCTGTTGCATAAGGTCGTCGGAAAGCTTTGTACTTTGCCTGGTGGTCAGGAGAAGCGAACCGTGGAATGACCGAGGTAGAAGGACGGTTACTCGTCCATCGCGTGAATAAATGTCCAACAGGAATGGTGCAATGACCTTGACTGTATTCTAGAGCGCATCAGGCGGTGCAATATTTGCAATGATCAATACTCACAATCTTGGCCGTGATGCTTCCATCGTCGGAACTTAGCGAGAGCGTAGTGCGCCTACCACTCCTAGGAGTAGCTTCCTCTTGACCGACCAACCAAATATCAGCATCGATACTCCCGTCCTTTGTGCGAAGGAACAGATTTTTCCTTTCCTGATCTGTTTCTCCAGTATTCAATGGAGGAAGCAGATTGAGGGGTATTTCCATTCGAGGGTCGATCACATAACAGCCTCGTATAGGTTTATCCTTGAGTACAAGTGAAAGAAAATTGGTAGGTTTGGAAGGAGGCTGAAACTCCGTGGAACCTGAGCTTGATGTGTGCTGCACGTGTGTTGAATATGCTGGAGGTGGTGCATCCTGAAGACAGCAGTCAACGATAACGGCAATGTCTGGAAGATATCTCATCAACGAACATCCATGGCGTTGTTCGCCGCCTCTGTTTGATCTTTCCCGGCCTCTTCCACCTCGGCACACTCATCCTGGAGCTGCTTCTCTAAGATGATCATCGAGGACTAGTGGTGGTGCAAGTAAAGATGTCAAAGATTATTAGGTGAGTTCGCAAATGAAAGGAGGGAATACTGCGGCGCTCTCTCCAGGTACTGCGGCTGCGTACTGCGGCATTAAATGATTGAGGCAAAAAAAAGCAGGCAGCTGTTGGTCCATTGACGCCACATACATGCATATCATGGGTACTGATTGTAAGTTGCACACCCCGAAGTAGTGTAATTAACATTCAGGCACCTGTATCAAAACTTGAATGTCGCTTGCGGAAAAGAATTCCTTTTTGCACGTTTCTAGCGCCTTGTACAAGCGCTGTCTCTGTTATCTGAAGTCGGGAACGTTCCAAGACTCAAAAGGAAATCATTGGAGGCAGAGGGGTGCCGGTGACTGCGCACATGCATGCGGTAGTCAAAGTGACATTGATAGGGATGATTAAAGAGGAGACGCTAAATGATCCGGCGGAGTCGGGACTGGAAAATGGCCGAAGTACTTACTACCACCCGAATAACCGACTGAAAAGACCTCCTTTGGTCGTATCATCTGTACTAGTATGCTCTTCAACATATTTTATCCAGATCTTTCCATGTTCTGCTTCTACCCGCACTTCATCCCCAGGCCAATCACTGTCACCAACCGTAGACAAGTCTCCAACAAAATATCTGCGAGTCAAATCTACTTGACTGAGATGTGTGCAGTTCTTGGAGAGAGCATCAGCGAGTGAGACAGAGCCGTGCCTGGTCGTTAGAAGAAGGAGACCATTGAAAGAGCGCGGAACAGTAACATTCACACCGCCGTTCTTGGCGGAAATGGTTAACAAGAAAGGCTCAGCCCCGTGAATAGTATGCTAGCATTCTGATCAATGCGGAACTATGGCAATCGAATAGACGACATACAACCCGTGCAGTAACAGAACCATTGTCAGAGCTAATGTCGAGTATCGTGCGTTTTGTGGATTTCTTGGAATCGAAGGGTTGGGCGACTCGAGCACCGAGCAGCCATATGTCTGCATTGACAGATCCATGTGTCGAGTGCAGGGATAGATTCTTTCTGTCTGCCTCGCTCTCTTCTGGAGACAGGGGTGGAAGAAGAGAGGTGGGGATGGTCATGCCAGGGTCTATGACGTACTCCCCCTTGATAGAGCTATTATCATTGAAGAGATGCAAGTAATTCGTTGGTTTGGACTTGAATGTGGGCTGAAGAGGAGTGCTAGAAGAAGATGCACCCGCGATTGCATTTTGGTCCGAGGTGCTGTTATAATATGAAGGAGGCTGTAAGTAAGGTCAGTAAACTAGGACAGCAGAGGTAGAAAGATTTGACGCACTGCTTCTCCAGGAAGCTCACCCTCAGTTTCTGGGGGAGCTTTGGGTTCAGAGGAGGTTGGATCTGTCACGGTAGAGTCCTGTGAAGGGATGATCATTCTGCGATGTAGGTATTGCAAGTTGAGATCAGCTGGTTTTAAAGGTTCTTGCTCTAGAGTCTACATATGAGAACTTCAGCTTGTGAAGTTCCCGCTGCAATTAAAGCTGCGGCTGCGCCCTACAGGCTTAAGTAATGAAAGGCTGGGCACTGATTGCTGCCGGACAGCCAGTAACTTAAGGCAGGTCATAACCATCTTTGACAGTCTATTGTGCCTCAGGCGGGCACCTGTACCGGGTGGCACAGACTAGGTCTGGCAAGCAGAGACTATCCAGAACATCTCTCGCATTGGAGAGAATATGAGAGCACCACCGCTGCTCAACAGGAGCTCTAACCGTGTTACATGTGTGATGAACGTGAAATCATGCAGACTAGAATGGTCAACCACAGGTAGAATCACCCGTGATAGGACGTGCCACATTGTCAAGTTCTGATCACCTACAGATCGCGCAAAGGATTAAAATCATGAGCTTGGATGTCATATATGCATATGAATATCGACCATTGCAGGACGAAGAAATTTTACATATGAACCCGTACTTAGGTATGCATGCAAATCCATACTCCGTGGCGCCTTCACATCGTAACAGACAATCAGAAAGTAGAAGGACGATGAGCGACAAATGTCGCAGCAGATTTGCCAACACGGTGGGGAAGAGGGAACTTGAGGTTGGGGGTAAGGAGCTGCTTGATGTAGGGGCGGCGGACATCATCAGTCTTAGCGATCTCAACGACGCGGAGGATCTGAGGAAATACAGATATCAACATGATGAAAGATGGGAAAATGACAGGCCATACGTGGATCGACCGGAAGCGGGCACGATGCCTGGCAGCCATGTCCTGGTAAAGGCTTTTGACTGCATCAGCACGGGAGAGGTCACGGAACTCCTTGTACATGTTGTGGGTTCCCGATCGCGAGTCGTAACGGAGCCAGATACCGAAGTTCTTGACCTTCAGAGGTTTTGCCTCATGTATCTGTAACACAGGTCATATAGACCGTTAGCAATCCCGTTCCGCCTGCCACTTGAACGGCTGCAAGGGATACACACAACGTTGACACCAATGATTTCACCACTGGCTTTCTTGACCTTCTTCAATTGCCTAGGTGGATGTTACATTACGCCTGAAAAAAACTTTGCAGGCTAGCGTACCTGAGGAAATACCAGAACCGAGATTTTGCAACAACTTCATTAGGAGCAAAGATGCGCATGCGATAGATTTTGGGGTTGGGCTCATTGGTGGTAGGTAAGTGACGTCCGACGACTTGGAATTCTTTGAGGCCCATCTAGGTGCAGAACATATCAGTACACATCCAGACAGGAAGAGTGACATCCATCAAAAGAAACAGGTTTTCTAGGTTGTTTTCCTCGATGGAACTCTCTATATGCATGTTAACGTCGTAAATGAGTTGCTTACTTTGAGATTGTCTTGTTCTTGAGGCGTTGACGTTGGCGAGGATGGCGAAACCACTATCTACACCAAGGTTTGAGGTAGTTGTTTGTCAATGTTTGTGGCTGTGGCAAATCACGAAGCCTGTTCTCCAATACGAACTCGAAGATCTAATATTCGAGATCTATCGCATGCAGATTCTTCATAATGATGAAGAGGATGTAGTATAAATTGTACCATTACAAAGTGCAGAATGATCAGAAAATGCAGATCTACTCGACACTCATTGCAGTATCCATCATCTCGGTGACGCGATTGGCACTGGCCCCAGCCTGCTGACTCGGTCGCGAAGAGAAAACGATATCTTTCAAAACCTGAGATATCAAACCATGTTGAGCCTCTGCGGCGATTTTGATACTACAAAAACATAAGCTTGGCTGTACTACACAAAAATAGAGACCTACCTATCCTTCACACCCTTTGCGAGTTGATTGTCTTCTTTCTTCTTTTCTTCCTTCTGCAACAAACACGTATGAATATTTAGTGCACAGACAGTTGAAGTATAATCTACTTTGGGTGCACTTGATGCCTTCTCCTCCTGTCCCTTCATTGCTGGCAAAGGCGCCCGCGTACTGGACACTGTAGCCTGAGCCTTGGAGAGTTTCTGATGCAGATCTACGATCTGTGACACTGCATACGCCCGATTCTGTACACGTGGGATATGAGAGAACAATTGAAGCTAGTAAAAGCCTCTCACCGAAATCAAAGGGCTCTGGCTAAGTGTGTTGACCCAGTACTTGTTCCACAGCAGACCGAGCAGTTCAGTGTCCAAGCTCGATTTGAACACCTCTACGTCTAGTGGGTAGTACTGGTTCGCGTGCACACCAAAGTCTTCAATTTTGCTCAGGGGAATGGATTGGTATTCGGAAGCGGATACGTTAGGAGGCGTGTAATTCGATGGGTACGTGCGGAAGGCACCAATGTCGACTTTGCCAGCAGAGATCGTGCGATTTGGGTCAATCTATCGCATTGAGGGTCAGACCAGCAATCGAGCCGGAACATGATGATGGACGCACCACGACGGCCACGAAAGGATCCTGGAACTGCTGGTTGTTCATTTGGGTGTCCACATCTATTCCCGAAAGCCAGCACCCATAGCCTGGATGTGAGTGGTACCAGCCAATAGCATTCTCCAATCTTTTGGCCTAAGGGGAGTGAGCGCAAGTTGTCTAGAAGGTTTGATTACATACCTTCTCGCTCTCCGAGATATACTTTACCATGTACTCATTTGCCTCATTCGCAGCATTAACACGCGTCTCCGTGCCCTGCACAGGAAGTGCAAAGGAGTCCATGATGACCAGCGAGTTGCCCATCACCTTGCCTTGCATGAGTCCCATGATCTCATGTGGCACTCCTGATCGTGCATGAATGACCTGCAGAAGAAACAACGTCAGATTGCCCGTTGAAACTTCAGCTGTTGAAGCTTTCCATCTTTATCAAGGCGACTGCTGAGATCTTGCATGATTTGAAGTATTGTGGACTATCAGAGAAGTCAATGAGGCCTGCTCAAGTGATATGGGGTCGCCGACATACTCCTTGTCCCATGGTGCCTCCCGGTTTATCCGCTTATTAGCTTCGACATCAAAGGCATATATCTCATCTTGAGGCGAAACTTCAAATACGTCGTTTGCTAGCGAGAAGGTCTTGAACGCGGTGCTAGAAGTCATATGTGGTGGTAGATGACAAGGGGCCACATGATTTGTGGCGGAGGCAGATTCCAAAATGTACAGTGCAAATAGTAATAACTTAGTAATATTGACGTCGTGCATAGGCGAATCAGACACGAACATATGAGTGATCTCCTACTAGCCATGCAATACTAGTCAACGTTTTGGGAATAATAACCATCTAATGCCTTCGTACAACATCCGAATGTTTATAGGAGACATCTCCGTATCATCTGAGAGTAATTCTCCTCTCGTCCTTTCTATCGAAAGCCGAATGTTAGTATTGGCTAGCCCCAGCTAGTAGCCACAAACTAACTCTCCGCTTCAACTGCAGCTCTCCGCTCCTTCTTCTCCCTCAACTGACGCTCCATTTCTTCGAACGCGTTGAGGACGATATCGTGCCTCTTTTGTGTAGCTGGTGTATTGGTTCGAACGCGGTCTGGCCACTCGGATTCTGGTATTGAAAGAGCGGAAAGCGACGAGCGCAAGGCCACGATCGACTCTTTGTAAGCTTCCAGAGATTCTTCGTAAAGGTCATAGACACAAATTGCACATCCTGACATGCAACATTCTTGCCTTATGTCAGACACTGGAAGTTAGCTTTGGTGGAAAATTTACCTTCATCTGAAGGTGGTATGGGTTCCTTGGGGATCACAAAGCCCGCGATGGTATTTGAAATATTTTGTGCACCATGGAGCGAAGAGGATATCGATGAAGGCGACCTGGCCTTGAATGCATCCTCGACGTCCTGAGAAATCTCGGATATCTGCTTCATGATAGCATTCCCCCGAAGAGTATTTTCTAGTCTGCGGTAGCGTTCAGTAAGATTTTGTCCACCTCTACTTCGATTGTTCCAATAGTTTCGGGAGATGGATGGTATCGACAAAACAGTGTTAGACGAGCTTGTCGTATTTGTAGTCAATGAGTGTAAGCATGGTGTGCGAGTGCACGCAGATACTGCTATCCTCCACTGGCCAAGAGACAGCATGCATACTCCTGTCGTCTCGTGAACCGTCCTGCGTTAAATAACGAGCTTGCGAATCCTGGAGGTCTACTGGAGATGATGTTTATCGGATGACAAACGTTGGAACTTGGCTGCGCTGCACAGTGCGCTGAGTCAGCTCCCACACCCACATGACTCGGAATCCCCTAAGTCAACTTTGCATCGTTTTTCTTTTACGTGGAAACCAGAACAACTTGTGAAACGTGAGTCGTACTGGGTATTGAATTCTGAAGCCGCGTTCTATCAGTTTGGTGAGTCATCAGTACTCAGTCTCCGCTCGAAGAGTCAAGACGAAGCGCTCCGAACTTGTCGCGTCATTATTCGGGCCTACCTAGTACCGCAAGAAAACGCCGCGACGTTTTGTTCGCATAAATCGTCGTTGCCCCGAACTACCACATTTTTTGGCATATGCTGCTCCATCTGACTTTTACAATACATCACAGACTTCATTGCGGTGCGCGGGCCTGCACGAAGGAAGCTTGTCCTCAGTGATTTCTCTGAGCTCTGTCATAAATCTTAATGACGACGCTTCGCAGGTGATTTCACCAGAAATGAAAATCTGGGCAGCACGGCCTTCGGAATCACCGGTACTCTGGGATAGAAGTTTGACGGAGATCCCACTGAATTCACCGTTGTTGGAAAAAGTACCGGACTGGGAGGTGCGAGCATATGGTCTTCTTGCTCGTGGTGATTATCAAAGTCTGGGCAGGCACAGACCGCGCCTTTAAATCGTGCAGTCGCACAACAATGGATTTAGGGGGCTGACTACCAATATTAATGCCTCACAAGCAGGAAATTATTCCGGTATGTCATCAGGAATTAGCGGGATTCAGAATAGAAACAAGACAGTGTCAATATTACGACTGATGATGATTCTGATAGACCAGATTTCGAGTGTGATATTCCAATCATGGATCTGCACCCAAATCACGCGGCCGCGGCGTACTAACGAATGGTCATGTCACCCGTGGAGAAAGAATATCATCATCCTCGCTGCAAGTTGGATGATAGCAATATTGACTCCAGTGGCAAATTTAGTTGCTTCCGTCACAACTCCAATTCGTTGATCGACAAGGTTGTCGATGACGATGGTCGGTCTCCCCAACCGACCTCAAATTTCCTTCTCATTTCCGAATTTCCTGCCCCGGCGATTGCTTCTCGTCCGAGGTGGTCGTTTACGTCAAGAATAATGAGCCTAATATCTCACGCATGGAAGGGATCTAACGTTATGTCACCCATGTGCATGAGCTCTACTCCCCTGTAGACGATGATGGCGGAGGCGGAGGTCCGGTCAACGATTTGGTATCAATTACGTTTCATGTTACTTCCAAACCACCTTGAGTGGTCGTATCTATCAAACGGAGACGCGAGGATGATTTGTGCAACGAGCTGGATATACTGAAATCACACTGATCAGATCGTTCCCGGCGTTATCATTCTTTTTCATCTTATACCCAACATTCACCCCCTCCTAACAACTCACACAATTCCAGGACATACTGCTACTGCTTACAAGCAGGTCGGATTTCAGTGACGTTAGTGCGCACATTCTAATCTTCGATCGACGTGGATAGAGAGTCCAGACGAAGGCAGATTTTAACCTTCGTGCACATTCCTCCGTGAGGCTTCGATCTTCCAATGTGCCTACACGCTTTAAAACTCTCATCGATCAAGGAAAGACATCGCGCACACTCCTCCGTGAGGCTTCGATCTTCCAGTGTGCCTACACGCTTTAAAACTCTCATCGATCAAGGAAAGACATCGTGTACTTGGAAATCTACCAGATATTTTAATAGTCAGGGTGACTCGATAGGCTCAACGAGTGGCATGTCCGAGGAGAGGATCAGATTTGAATTGTCTGCCTATCATCGCTGCCACAACAGTGAACGAGGTTCTATATGGGCTCTGGAAGGGCTATGCATGTCCGGAGACTGCGATCAAATATTCTGTGACCACGCAACTGAGACAACAAGAACCTTTTGTGCTATCATTTTGGGGCACGGCGAGTAAATTCTACTGCCAGATCGGCAAAGGGTGTTCTCCATTTGGTCAGTCTTCCCAGTACTTTCTTCTCAGAACATGGTAACGAGTGGACCCTGGTGTGGACAAGCGCCCATGAAGCATGCAAGATTTTGCTTTGACAAGAACTTAGGGCAAGACTATGAACCATACTGCTTTCCTATGTCTAAGTAAATCTCCATCCTCGTTCTCGATATACTAGTTGTCGAAGATACGATGGCTAGGGATGTCGATGAGGCCGCGAGTTATGTTAGCTCACGTCGATTTTGGACCCTATTGAACCTACCAATGAGGTGGAGACCTTCATCAAGCTACACGATTGGCCCGCCAGAACTGGTGTATGAAATTCATACCCGTCCGTAGCTCCATCATATTGCTGCCGGCTCATCGCCTAATTGAAGTCCGACAGATTGGCGCGTACGATAAGATTTCAATTTATTCTGTTTCGTGGCTTTTAGAGCGCCTTTGGAATCTGGATCTGGGGATTGACTACTGCGTACATCATACACCATCATCAGCTTTTGTCTAATCTATGTATGAGTCTCGATGCTAATTAGGTCGCACATCTAAGCTAAGCAGAAGGAAATCTTCAAAGATGCTTCAACTATGCAAGCATATCGTGGACGCTGTGATCAAAGGACAATCGATACAAAAGAAGGAAAGGAACGAAAACTCGGAGTGCATGCTGCCGAAGGGCAAGCGCATGATGATGCCAAGGGTGGTGGGTCCTTGAATTGCGCAGGTCGCGACACCCACAGACAGGCCACGAGAATCATGATTGGCACCATAGTTGCCGCTGGGAGATCAGACACCCACAATGGTCACCATTGCTTTGATGGGCTTGAGTTGTGCATGGGTTACATTGTTGGGGGTGCTAGAGGACCGCATTATTGGAGCACCCAATGTCTGTAGAAACGTAAAGTTCAACGCGTATACTGCATTTTAAACGCGAATACGTACGAGGATGTCGCCATTCTGCAAGAGAGTTTGTTGTACTATTTGGATACCATTTACATATGTTCCATGTGTGGTGTTTTGATCTCGTATAAGTATCTGGAATGGATCTTTAGTGTCTGTTTGTCACATTGGAATACGCGTTCTCTAACCTGTTTATTTTGAAGCCAGATTTCAGCATGTGGTGATGAAATGGATATTGAGCCACCCGGGGTGAATGCTCCTGGTCCTAGGGGAATCCTGACATTGCCCGTGAACAATAGCCTGATGGCCTCGAAGGGACAACTGTCAGCCGTTGGGGACAGAGTGAGGCAAGGAGCAACGCAAAAGTTCATTTGGAGGAGAGGTGGCAAAGTCGAAGGTGGTGTTTGAACAAGATCGACTCATGCAATATATATATGTATGTGTTTGCGAACCGCAATCGAAAAAAGGGTGCAAGCCCTGAGGTACAGTCGACTACCGCCAGGTTATTATGGTTCTGGAATGATGCCTAACATAGGGATCAGACTCCCAAATGCGGTCTTCATATCGAGCCGCCCACGTTCCTTGATGTGGACGGAGTCCTAGAATGATCGAGGAACCAGAAAATGAAGATAAATACTAACGGTTAATTCAGTTTACGAGTTATTTGCGAGGTGGGGGATTGAATACGCGAGGTTCCGGAACTGCCTGGGTTGTGACTGTGATGAGTGACGGGGTGGGAAGTATGGTTCATTCCGCGACCTCGTGGCATCCAGCGCGTCGCCTCTCTGACTGCGCGTGCATTATAATGATCTGAGTCCTGATCACGGCCATTGTTTTAAAGAACCTCCTTCAAATGCAGCGAGAACTACGGCATTGGAGCTCGCATTCAGGAGGTGCTTCCGAATGGGAAGGTAAACCCTCTCGCGCTGGCCCCAATCGTCGACGTTTCGGCATCGATGTCCACATCATCTCAACAACTCGACGAAGAAGACGAAGAGGATGCTACCTAATGGCGACCGAGGGTCCGACACACCATCCGCAGCGATTCTTGCTAAAACCGCTAAGGCTATGGTACGATCAGCTATAATCCTCTATGCTTGTGGAGATCCCGATTGACATCCCCGGTTCCGAAGATCTCGTACCCCAAAAGGGCTCGGACGTGGTTAAATTGAACACGAGTTAGTGTGCATTCGCAGAGGATGTCCTAAGATGCTCGCTCTTCTGGGCAAGCAATGATATAATACAAACCAAGTATTAATAACCTGAATGACACGAGACACCGAGGAAGTTGTTCAATGATGACTAGATATGATTACTGGCCTAACGGTGGGCTCAACCTAACCAAAGGTGACGAGAGTGGCGTCGAAGTGTGCTAGCACCGGCTGGCGCAGAAGGTGTGACTTTACAAGATGACGTGACTGCGAGCTCCACTGTCACCAAGGTTTTGATTGGGTTTGAAACTTTGTCCTCTAGTAGGCAGCTAGCAGGTTCAGGTTCTGTTGGACAGAACGACTTTCAAGGTCTGGACTCTGCTACATCATGTCGTGTCCCGTAAGGTGGGTATTCCCCATGGAGAAATCAGAGGGTCAGTCATCTGCCGGCGGCAAAACAGCCACGGATCCGGGCGCAGCAAAAATTTTATGTTTCGCCAAACTTTTACCAATACTACTAAGCTTAAGCTTGCCGGCGGGAGAATGGTAGTGTTTCTCGGTGCCACGGGTGCCAAATCCTGACCAGCAAGCACTGATCTAGTTTCCCGGAGTCGAGATAGCAGTGTCGCCCCTGCCATTTTCACCCGATCATGACTTTTAGCCGAGGCGTAAATTTGTCAAGTCTGCCTGCAGTGTTCATAACTAAGCGCTAAGCTTTTTTTTAATGTTATCTGATGTAACCTCGGCCGTGCACGTACACTGCTGTTTGACTAATAACTATGTCTCAAGTCATTCACGTAGATAATGGTTTTTCATGGTACACTAACTGCCAAGTCGTTCAAATTCAGTTCCCTGAAGAGTGAAAAAGACTTGCTCAAATATCTTTAGTTTTTGAGGATGCCATAATGCGACGTTTGTTACTCAACGTCTTCCTCTCTCTTCGTTTTACTACATCCGAGCTTGCACAACGTATTCTCACTCGTGGAAGTCACAAGGTGGCTCGATCGTAATGAAGGGCCCAGCTTTGTAGGTAGGACAATTTGATCATCCATGTTGTGTATTAACTGCTTAATTTTCTCTCTACCTATCTGACAGGGCGTCGCGTGCTTGAGTTGTATTATTTGCTCTTCCTGCGTTCCATCACGCGGAATCAACATTAATATGGCTGTGAACTTCATTCTTGCGCTTTAGATACCTACCATTTGGGTGAATACGTCGCTCCTCGGCGGTCTCTGGTCCTATTATACGATTGGACCCCAACAGCTTCCCAAGGTGTGCTATGGACTCACGGAAATTTGAAAGGTTCACTCCCGGAAACGGCCAGCAGCTGCTGAATTGGAAAATCTGTTGACGGAAAACGCTGGCACCAGTCCGCAAGACGTGTGGATCTTTACAAAGTCACAGGGGAATATCTCCAATTTGTACGTTATCAGCCTCATGCTACACCACCCACAGTCACAACAACAAGACTGAAATTTAGTTTCTGCGACCATCCGTGCCGACACGTCAATTGGGTCAGGGTGGCTCATCGCTTGTTTCACACTCCCATTCTGCCGTATATCTTGCTGCCAGGGAGGGTTGAGGGTGTTCCCGCAGGATTCCATCAGAAGGCACTAGTCCTTTGTGAACGTATGAGTGACATGGATGTGAATCTGTTGGTTCAGGAACCTGTGTCGGATCGTAGCCCTGCGGATCTCGCCGAGGCTGTAGAGACTGTCCAGCCAAAGAAAGCTGCGTTAGTGTTCATTCCCGCTGGATCTTGCTTTCTCATTAATTTTCCCGTCGGGTGGTTAGTGTCCGAGTTTTCATATTTCTCATCCCAACTCATGTTCATTTTTCATATTGATTGCATTAATTGCAACGGCAGTCTATAAGCCATGCGCTAAGCAGGGTTATCTATGAGCCAAACTCGTGACGTTTGCGACTTGAACGGAAGTTTGTCAGAGGGAGGTACAAGCCTTAGTCAGTGACTGGCTGTAGCCGTTAATGCTTTCCCAATGCCGCCGGCCACATAGTGTCTGTGATAGTGATAAGTCCATTTTAGCTCTGATTATCTATTCCCTGCCAGATCCTCGTTGCAACCGCGTTGGCGTTATTGCTGTAAAGTTTCATGATCAACATCTGTGTAAGCTCTTTTGCTTCTCTACACGCTAAACTAATCATGTGGTGGGCTATTGGGGATCCCGAGCTTGTTTTTTTCTCGTTCACGACATCTCCATCTAGTATATCCCAGGCTAACGGCGATGTTGGAATAGGTAATCATGCGCAATGGTCACCTGCCCATCACACGGCTCCGCCCGCTGGTATAGCTTCTTCACATCCGTCGATCATCATGATCCGTCGCGCATGGTTTGATTGCCACAGGCTGGCTCCATTTTGCAGGTTTTCTATCAAACTGAGAGTGCACACGAGGCCGCGTTTATGCCGAGAGTCGCGCTTCAATCGAAACGAGGCTGGATCATCTCAGCAGTATAAGTACATAGTTGCATCCCTTCTTGGCCGTTTGTTGATCTTCTGCCAGCATGGATACCTCTGACACGAAGGCATTTACAGGCAACCAGCTCAGCGTTACCATGCAAGATGAATCGCGTAATGCGAGCCTTCTCTCAGACTTCTTCGCCCTATAATATTACTTCAGACATGAGTCGTGCATGCCTGCCCTACAGATATATCCGCAATAACGTTGTATTGGTGGATCTTGATAGCAAGTGAGTACTAGTCATGATAACGTGATCGGACAACTTTTCTTAGGACCCTGAATTCTATCTGCAGGTGTTTTCGCTCCAAGGGCCTTTGTGGGCGATTTGTCTCACAACAGTTATCATCAGCCTAAACGAAGAAAAACACAGATATAGGGAGAACGTGACACTGAATGTATGCTTTCCCCACATAGCATAACAACATAACTCATGTTTTTCTAAGCGACCTCGCCCCCTTATGTGATTTCCACTCGCGGGAGAAGTGCCAGTCTCGAACGAGTAAGTCGATTATCATTACACCCCACTGTCTGGATTTGGGTGAACACTCCACCTCTTGTTACGTGTTATTTTACATGATTGGTCTTCCCGCATCCGCCTATCCACACTGGTACATTGGGTTTCCCATCAACGTCCCCAGCAACTTGATTCAGCTTGTCCAGTACCTCAAACCCCGCTTTTAATTCTCCGAATGCCACATATTTGCTGTTCAACTTTGCAAGTTGCATCTCGTCATCCGTGAGCACAATGAAGAACTGGGAAGAATTCGTATTTTTGCCGGAGTTAGCCATCGCCAAAGTTCCTCTTCTCATCTTGATCTTCAAGCCATCCTTTTCATCGTTGAATTTGCCGCCATATATTGACTGGGTGAAATCAGAAAATTAATGAGTTATATTTCGAGTACGAACCTCACCGCCACTGCCATCGCCCCTTGTAACGTCGCCTCCCTGCGCCACGAAATCTTTCACAATGCGATGTATCGGACATCCCAAGTAATACAACTCTTTGTTACGTGCATTTTTACACTTTCCTTTCTCCCCTGTACACAGCGCAGTGAAATTGGTCGTCGTTTTTTTCAGAGAGGCCTCGGGGTTCAACTCAAAGACGAGGCGGCCGACACAAAGGGCCTCTGCGGGCATGAAGCGTAGTACATGCGATTTCTATCGACGATTAGAATATGGATGTCTTTGAATATGTTGGCAGTAGAGCAATCGGCAGAAATGCAAATACATCGATTTCTCTGAGCATTTCTTGTTGCTCTGATGATAGATGATGTGGATCGGATGGCAAGCCGTAAATTGCTGCATTATTAGCGAGGAAATTGCGAGTGGCAATAAATGCGGCTTCATCGAGTTTGTGCTGTTCTTCGTCTCCCATGAAAATATCGAGATAAACGGTGGAAGACATTTGCATAGAATTTGAGTGATTCAGATCCATTGTGCAAAGTTCACTCTTGCGTGACATCACACGTCACGGTGGCATTACCCACCAACCATTGCCGCAGCTCATGGCAGCAAGCGGTCAGAAGCGGCTCTCCACAATTCCCGCCTGTTTCACTCTGAAGCTGAGGACTGCTGCAAATTAGCATGGCTTCAGCGTACTACGAGTTTTACCGAGGGTCATCGTATGTTCCAACGGTTTACCTGATCGTTTGGCTGTTCACGGCTGCAGAATTGGAATGGCCCTGACAGACTCGCTGGACGAGCTTATCACAAGCGGCGCTATCACACCGCAATTGGCCATGAAAGTCCTTCAACAGGTATTTGTTGATTCAATGTCCGTCATGTCAATGAGCGTTGACCACGAGTTCTAACAGTTTGATAAGTCGCTCGCGGACACGATGGTCAAGCAGGTGAAAACCAAGACTACCCTCAAGGCTCGTTCGCTTCTGAGTTTTGAAATGAAAGACTTCTCACAGCTTTTATCCTTTTCTTTCAGGGCAACCTTCGGACATACCGTTTGTGCGATGATGTGTGGACATTCATCGTCAAGAACCCGTCTTTCAAGATGGAATCGAACGAAATGGTCTCAGCGGCTCGTATAAAAATAATCGCATGCAAGAATGGAGATGCCATTGAAGCAGGAAAGAAGTAGCCGAGGCATCTCTCACCGGTCGAACGTCCCTTATGGCAGTTACTTCATACTTATCCATACAATGTTGTACTACCTTTCCACGCTGTTGTTTCTGGTTGTCATGGATAGATAAGCAAATATCAGTTTCGGTTCCGATACAAAATCTTTTTAAAATCGTCGGTTGATTAACTAGGCTTAGGTCGTTGAGACTGGGGTACCGATAGTCTGAATGAACGATGATACGACTTTGGTAGATAAAGCAGAAAACTCGGAGGACATGAGGGGCCCCGTCACTCCGCCATCCCCAAGGGCCAAGCCTACAAAACCCACGTGGCCATATATGGGACTTTCCATCAGTTTCAGCTCATCCAACCTGTTGTTCCTGTCCCGCCTTTTCTCACCGTGAACACATCCACACTATCGTCCGTCATGACGCCTTCCGCATATTTAGCCCATTATCCGGAGCCACCAACGGACGCAGCTGTTGCTGATGCTCGCAGAGAGCTCCAGGCACAGCAAGAGCAGCTCTTAGCGCTCTCGGAAAAGATTACATCCGCGGAAGACGCCCTGGCTCAAATTGTCGTCGAGAGAAAGCGCGCTGTACGTGACCTACGACGCGAAAAGTTGTTGTTAGAGGAGAAGGTGATATATACAAAGGCGTATATCTCTCCTATACGCCGGTTGCCACACGAACTACTCCGCCATATCTTCCTTTTCAACTTCGATGATCATCCTTGCTGTGCTTGGGTGCTTGCATCTGTCTGCACGCTGTGGCGAAGACTCACGCTGTCAATGCCGAGGCTGTGGTCCAAGGTGAGATGATGCAATTCTTCGCCTTTCAGCTTGGTATTGCGTCATGGAAGATGGTATCGATATCCTCGTATGTGTGTGCGGTGGAGGCAGTTACTAGTTACTGCCCTCGTAGCTCGTTCTTGATCTCCTTTTCTCGTTCATGATGTTGACTCTTTCATGCTAGATAAGACTCGTGACAAATCAGAGCGCAACCGCCGATACCATACGGCTTTGGCTGGAACGTTCTGGAGACAAAGTCCCGCTCGATATCGAGATTTACTTGCGAGTAAACGGTGTGTCTAACGAGGGCTCATCGACCCGTACCCGACCTGCTTCACCTACGCCGTGGTTGCATCCGCCCAGTCCACCGCCTCATTATGTGATCCCACACCCTCCTGGAACAGCGATGCTCCTCCCACCCGCCCATACTCCTATCATTGTCCCGCAATCACCCTCGCATCACGATTCATGGGGGTCACCCCCTCCACCTTCTTCAAGAAATACCCCACAAGCTCAGCGGAACGCTCACTGGGGACATATTGCAATATTCTACCTTATCGAGCAAATGCACCGATGGCAACGGTTTGTCTTCAGGTTCGACAGGCAGTTTCCATCCATGTCCGCGCTGAAATCAATAGCTGGTACGTAACCATGCTCAAAACGATTCAATGTTATTTAATGGGAAAGTAATAGGCGACGCCCCCATACTTAGAGAATTTGAAATCTCTTGCGCTGAAACTATTTATGCGAGTGAATGGCCATGGATACCGAGTTCAAGTCCAGCAACTAGTATGGCTCTTGGCAAACTAGAGTCACTGATGTTACACCACGTTCCATTCAAATGGTCATCGCCGATATTCAAAACCAATCTACGGTCGCTTAATCTCCGTTCACTTCCATCGAATCATCTACCGTTGGATCGCATCATGCACATTATCGCCAGTAACCCAGATCTTGAATCGCTCACCTTATATTTTGCTGTTGCTCTGCCAGCTATTCTTCCCCTTGTCCAGACTTCGTTACCTCGGCTTCGTGAACTCACCTTTGGCGGTCACTACCACATGTCGCAACTAGCGGACTCGCTCGTGCTTCCCTCTTTAGAGATACTCAACCTCGATGTAGAAGCCCGTGATCCGATAGAAGACACCATTACCAATCTCCTACAACGCTCGAACAATCCACCGATTACTCGCCTCTCTGTCTCGTACGGCAGTACCTCGAGTTCGACGCTTTATTATGGCCCCGGCGGAGTCGTCATCTCATGGGGTTTCTTGACGGACCTAAACCATCTGCAATCGTTGAGCATAGGCGGGACGCCGCTCGAGCCATTTTTGTCAGCGCTCGGAATGCCCGACGAAGAACAGACCCACTGGGCGTGTCCGAATTTGACGACGGTGGCGATGAAAAGTTGTCATGCGCATTCTGATGGGATAGCGAAGCTGGTGCAGCTTGTGGAAGCTCGCAATCCAGAGTCGGGATCTGCGACGATGGTGAATGGAGTTATACCGACGAGACTGCAGCACCTGGAGTTGTATGATTGTGCGACACTGGGACAGGATGTGATAGAATGGCTGAAGAAGAGGGTAGATGAGGTTATTTGTACTGAGCCTTCTTCGTATGTAAGGTCTCCTTGAGGTTGCGTGAGCCGAACTTGTGTTGATACTATTTATTACGCAGGACTCGCGGCTCTAGCTGTTGTGGTTTAGTGGGATATTTTTGATTGTTGTACATACAGTGTTGTAATTCACTTGGAGTGTAAATGTATTTATTTTTTTGGTTCCGCCTTGTGTTTTCGTAATCATGACGAGATGTCGACGTACAGAAGCACCTGCAGGGATCGCAGCGACCGCACTGCACTTGGCAGTTGCTTGGCAGCGCCACGAAGATTAGTATGTGCCTGCTAGCTCCTTGCGCCGAATGATTTATTACCGTGAAGATGTGTTTCAAGTATTTTTATTTTTACTAGCAACTGCGATCAAAGCCAGGTTGATTGGTGATGAAGAAGAAATGATTGGTCCCACCGTCGACCGAGCTTGGTAAGATCAGATAATCTAGTTTACTCATAGTTGACTAGTTCATACTAGTATTACAGGCGGCCTCACGCCAAGGCTTGGATCGAAGTTCGCTTGGAGCCAACGCTTGGCTGTACTTACTCGGTCCGGTACTCGGAAAAGACTTGTCGAGATTCCATGCCAGCAAGGTCCAGGCCTATCACTGTCACATGCCACTTCATAGACACAGAACAGATTGAATTGAGTGCACGGCGTCAAAGTTTTTATATAGTAGGACTAAATATATAGAAAGACGATAAGTAATGGCTGCGTACGCCGCATAACGTCCATTTGGTAAACAATGACATACAAGCGGTGCCAAGGGTTTCTTCCGGGGAAACCTAGAAACCCATAAGATATAAAACCCCGTTGGTCAGTTCGGAGCAGCCTTACCGTTCGCCCCAACTGAACTCTCTGCTAGTCGACGCCCTGAGAGCTCCGAACAAGTACTGGTGGATCATGCCTGTCCCTATTCCCGAAACACACGGAAACAAGGCCAAATATAATATAGCATTACCGAAAGAGATTACGAGCAGGTACGTAGAAACCTGATGCGCGTATCTGCTCCTTGATTTTGAACCGTCACTATCCAAGATTCGCTCCCGACACCCTCGATTCCCCCTGCAACTTGCGCCTGGCGCACTCGGACAGATTAAACAGACCCTTTATCCATAACGAACGCTCAGTAAAACCCCAGGTGATAATGCAGCGCAACGGCCACGGCGACCCCGTCAATGCTGTTGCGCAAGACATACCTCTGCTACCTGGCACTGTTCCATTACCGCAGGCATCAGCTTCGACGACTGTCATTGATTGGGATTGGGATGTTGAACACCATGACCGACGGCTTGAAGCTAAAGCCGACGCAGCAATGCACGGCGCACAGCCTTTTCAAGTCGACCGAAGGGTCCTTAAAGACGTCGTACGAGAGATGACAGGCTGCGAAGTTGGCCGAATAAAGTTCATGAGTTCCGGTACGTCATCTTCATCTTCCAGGACTAGCAGAACACTAAAATTACAACATCAGGGACTTTTCATAAGGCAAGTGTACAGCTCAGGGGCCACCCTACTTATTTTGACGTCTTAATGTCTGCTGCAGGCATATCTCGTTACTCTTGTTGACGCGCGCGAGCTGGTCGCTCGCGTCGCTCGTCGGTTCATGCCTCGCCTCAAAACTGAATCTGAGGTGGCCACCATGCACTACCTTCGCCAACGGACGTCCATTCCTGTTCCGGATGTCTATTATTATGATGCAAATCCCTACAATCGCCTAGGGGGTGAATATATCCTCATGTCGAAGGTACGTCTTATCTCCCCGTTGTCATGTCGAGTGCCTTGAAGGTCACGTGTCATATTAGGCGAAAGGGGTTCCCTTGTCACGCGTATACCACACACTCTCTAATCAAGAACTCAAATCTCTGTTCGCAAATGTTGCAGCTATCATAGTACCTCTGTTCGCACAGCGATTCTCCCACATCGGATCACTATATTTGGAAGGCGCGGGCACAGGCGCACCCACCCCTCTCTCGGTCGGGTCATCAAATTCCCCGACACCAACCGCGACGCGTCCTACCATCAACGGCTTTAAATTCATGCCACTGTTATCTATGAGCTCCTTTTCCAATGTCACAGCACCCCTGGAGAGAACAGTCTCACGACCAACTCCAGCTAGAGTGCCTCATATTGGTCCCATCGTATCATGGCCCTTCTTCGGATCCAATCGCGGGGACCTCTCCCATCCGGATGAGATTAACCGTGGCCCGTGGTCTAGTACTCATTCGTATCTTGCCTCATGCGTGGACCGGGAGGTTCGTGGCGTTGTTCTCGAGAATGAGGGCAAGACGGCACCGCACCGGCTACATCTTGACCCGGACGAGATTCAATCTTCTCGGCATCACCACTTGAACGCAGTACCCGGTGATCAGAGTGACGACAGTGACGAATGGGACGCACAGGAGAGTGAGGAGGAATGGGATGGCCCTGGTGATGTCATGTACAGGGATTACAGGCGCATGCAGAGAAGCACGTTCCTAATTGCCCACATCATGCGACGTGAGGAATCTGTACGAAAAGAGATGGGTCGCTGGATGCGCATGATGGAGAGACTCGGGGCGTGCGCGGATCATTCTGGGGAGAAAGAAGAGTTCGGCCTGGACTGTCACGACATAAGCTTGGAGAACGTGTTCGTCAACGAAAACAACCCCACGGAAATAGTAAGTTTTGCCTCCTTGCATGTATTTTTTGTTCTGATGAATGATCTTAAACAGACATGCGTTATTGACTGGGAATCTACAACTACCCGGCCCCTCTGGGCATGTGCGCATCTTCCAACCTTCCTGCAATCCAGTCCATTCACGACTCGTATGTTCCGAGAAGCAGTCGAGGATTTGGCTTGTGGCCGAGCTCCTCGGCCAACGCACCCAGGAAAGAACAATGGCAAACCCGTGAATGCTGTTACGGTCGCAAAAGAGTGGCTGCATTACGAAGCCATCGGTGCACGGTTGCGCATGGCTCACAGGTGTGTCGAATGGGACGGATGGGAGGAAGGCCTCGTCGACAGTATACTTGGGCCCGAGGACACTGAGGACGAATGGTTCAAAGATGCCGAGTGTACTGCAGATGCGCTGTCTGCCTCGAGTGCGCCTGTGTGCGCAGAGAGCCAAGCGAGCAGCTGTACTAATTCCGGTGTTCTGCAGGCTGCATCATTCAAGCGACGAAAGAAGGCTGGTCACATACCCTTGAAGAAGGAGCGGGAAAAAGAGCAGATGTTAAATACCACTGGAGATATCTGTGGCGGGCGAGGCGGGGAATTGGGACGCAGACTCGAGGCCTGGCTGAGCGTCAACGGGGACGGGACGAGGAAGAATTGGGACGAGGAGTATGATGCGGAGGCGGAGTGAATTTGTCTTTGTGTTTTGGACTGTTTCTTCGGTATGTAGATTAGATCTCGGTGAGTGGATTAAGCTATGCTATGCCTGGACTTAATACTGTATGATACACACCTTATGCACTGTCGCACGCAATTACATTTGTCACAGCATATTCTCGTATTAAATTATTATTTGTGGTTTGTGCTCCGTGGTATCTACTTGGTCGCTCGTTCATTGAAAGAGGGCGTCGCATTCCCCTGGTACTTCAAGTCTTCCATCAGTGCTTCGAGTACCAGCTGGCCATCGAGCCTTGCGATTGTTTGCCTAGTGACCTCAGGCAGGGTTTCACATTGGATTCCTAGTACGACCAGTGCGGAAGCAGATCCTCACGCGCACGGTGTGGTGCTTCGAAACCTGTCCATCCCGATGATGGCCGATCGCATCAAGACAGGGGGCCCTACTATTTGACTCCCGACAGTGTTATACCAATCCTTTGCAGACTTCGTAGACATGTTGGGGAAAAGAATTTGTCGAAAAGTGCGAAACCATGTCCCAGAAATAAGTCATACTCAGAATGTCTTCAGTCTAGACATGGGCTTCGTAACGTCGCAGTCACTCGCCAATCAGAACAGACCTCTGATTTGGTGTCGAGATGCGATGAGATTCGAAGATAGTCTGAGATAATACGTTAACATTCATACCTATCGGTGTCAGCCAACCCAACCAGCAACTCCATATCTTCCACATCAACTGCAGCCTCGGAGACCAACATCTCTCTGCCACCTAATCCTTTCCTTTAGTACCACATTTAGAGATGACATCCATCGGGTGATCGCTGACTGTAGCGACGTTGAATTCCAAAGACCTAGGGTAGGATGATGAGTGTCCCCCGGATGATCCAACTTGAAGACTGGAATGAGAGCGTTTAAGACCGGCGCGGACGATAATGAGGAGAGGGGTCATTGTCTATAACCTTCATCAGTCATCATGTTTGTAAACGCTCGAGAACGGGAGGCTTACAGCGACTTGTATTGCAATATCGACTGCCACTAACCCTGAAACATTACCCGCTACCCATAAAAGGAATATCACACATGTACATGTTGTGATGAGCGCCCCAGATTCCACGATCGTTATAATGGTGCTTTTGTACCTGAAGCCGCTGCTTCCGCCGGTGGTCAGAGCAGCTGTTTGTTTTCCTGTTCGCCAGATACGGTATACGATACCAGTAGTTACCGTAACATTTAAGACCATCTCGAGTGACCATCCACACAATGCGAAGGCTCGAAAAGTGTGCGAAAAGATGTTGGTGTGCTTAGGCGCGAGCAAGGCGACGGCGATAGAGGCGGTAACTGTGAAAGTCATGTTCACACAACAATACAGCAACTAGAAAATGGATGCGTACCACAGTGGGCTACCCACATGATGAGCTGAAGGAGAGGTTCAGTATCATTAACAACGTCCGAATCCATGGTTTGAATTACCGGTAGAATGCAAACTTTGATATTCTGATTCCAGACGACATAGAGTCTCCATATCTTTGAAAGAACTGTGCATGAGAAAATGCATGTATTCTCTTGCCGCATGTACTGACCAAAAGCAGTTCTTGAGTAAATACCTACATTAACAATCATTTCGTTCAACGTCAAGCGAGCGGCATAAAATTTCAGACTCACATTGGAAATATAGATTAACTGACAGAATAAGAAAACGCGGTTTCCTGCGGTAGCTGCATAGTAAAAGTTTGCCCCATCAGGGGTAATAACATTCGTCGCATTTGTGAATGCAATCATCGCTTGTACAAACATCAATATCACATGTGTAGTTGCCAGAGCAAATTGAAACGAGGTAGCACAGAGCAGAAGCTTGCTGTAAACAAATCAGGACGCAGACGAAAGGACAGTGGTGAATATTCACCTGTAGGCTGGACCCTTGATTGAGATGACGTAAACGCATGTACCGAATAATATGCAACTATGATTTTTATTTAGATTGACCTATGCCTCATGGGAAGTGAACGAATTACTTGATTCCTGCAAAAGTGTTCAGCATCTGCAATTCCTACCAAAGTTTCTACTCTACCATAAAGTATGGTCTCGAGCCATAAACACGTGAGATTCATCTGGGCAAGCGTCTGCCCAGAAGACATTTTACTTGGAAGAGCTGGATGCCAGGGGCCTTTATTAGTAATTCCATCAACAGAGTTTGATAGCGGCTGCGGGTAACAAGTTTTGATCGGCTTCAGTCTGATGCAATATAAGCGCTGTGACTTACCGTAAACTGCAAACAAGGCTCCCCTTCGATCGGTTGAAGGAAATTTGTAAGGCTACTACTTACCAGCTCAGCGTATCTCAGAATGAGGTCATCCGCTCCAGCGATGATGCTGATTTGTTCCGTTCCTAGAGACTTTCACAGTGTAAAGCAAATATGAAGGACCAGTTGAATCCTGGATGGATACTGGTTGCTTTACACGGTTGTTTGTAGTGACGCGTTCAAGATGAAGTGTGGGATATCGGATGTCACGCCCCGAGCCCATAACAGGATTCACAATTTCACGTGTTTATTTCAATGATACGCACAGTGCCGAAACATCAGATAAATTGTAGCGGTGCACAACACCAGAACTATAGGGTGACATGTACATACTGTGGAACTTGGAGATGTATCACGTTCAAGGATCCCGCATGACCTGAAGGTGAATTTCTTGTCATGGGCATGCGACCAACCAGCTATAGATATAAGTTTCAGTTAATCACATGTCCTGTGCTTCATAGAATGCGCTGGGGTAATCGTCGATGATTGATGCGTCCCTTACATGCATTTTCAATTTGTTAGTACAATCTGGAGCACCGTAATATGAACCAAGTATACGTAGAACATAGGTGATATCTAAATTAAAAGATACAAGAGGATCAAGCCTGGAACAATATGACACCGCTTCAGCTCACACCGAGCCAGAAGTCTCCGCGGTAGTGGATGATACAAGAACGTGTTCGGGAAGTTCAGTCGAAGTGTCTGCAGAAAGACAGCCAAGGATCGACTGGAGCGTATTGAGCACTTCAGACCGGTACTCTGCCGCACGATGGCTCTCTGTCATAACACAGTCTCCCATTACGTCCTCGAGTAAAGGCTCATCCTGGACAATGACCTCGGAGGTGGAAGTTGAGATCTGAGGAACGTGTAAGTGACATGAAACAGGGTTGCTGGACGAGTGGGGACATACAGAATCATCAGGCAGATCAAAAGGCTCAAAGTTAGTCAGGCATGGCTCCTGATCCGGAGGTAGAAAATCCTCGAGGTAGGTCTCAGCTTCCTCGAGGAATTTCTCGGCATTTGCACGGTGGTGAGCAAAAATCTGTGCCTCCTCGATGTCAGATCGTAAATCAGCCATATCCTGCAACTGTTGGATCGCGGTCCACTGCATTTCAGCTATTTGCCGTACTTCGTGGTTGGCATGCCGCATTTCAGTGTGCTTGCAGGCCATGATGTGGCCAATTTTGTCCTCATGCTGCGGGGCACAGGTACGCAAGACGTGCATGATGCACTGCTGGTCGGGAAATTCGTCGCACTCTTGAGCGAGGAGGGCAATTGGGGTAGGCTGATTCAGAGGCTGCTGCTGGTAACGCAGAGCCCATGCACGTTCACGCTGCTCGGAAAGATACCGGGTAGCACGCGCACGCGCAGAGAGTAAGACTACGGGGCGGTAGTGGGGATAGTAGTCGAGAGAATAGGGACTCGTTCGGACAGGTTCAGTGAAGAATATCATGATGCGAATGAAGCAAAGATGAGTTGATGGAAGATGTCATGTCGAGCAGCGAGTTTTATAGCTGGAGAATTGTGGACTGGATGAATAACAAACCACTTAATTGAGCAGACGCGTCCACTAGATTCGGTAAAGCGCGATCACGGTTTGCACAATAATTGCCACGATGCAAGCACCACAATTTCTCAAGAGCTCCGTATCCACTAGTCAAGCAGCTGATGACCTTCTTGAACCACGGGCATGACTTGATCATGCGCGGCTGGACCGTTTAAGACCACAAACAACCTGCAAATGGTGGATGAGCTACATGTGAGCGGCGTGACATAATGTTCAGTTGCTTCCTTGTAGCAAACATCATTATCAATGCTGGATTTGTGCCCACTTGCCTGAGCGTGGAAAGAAAATCATTGTAAAGCTTACTCTGGAAGTACATGTATACACTGGAACGGTGGGCGCACCTATGGGTTCCAAGTCCCCGGGATGAAGAGAATGTGTTAGCGATGGTAACACCACCATGGACTCTTAGCACTTGTATCGCCGTCGCTCTAAGTCAGGGGAATGGTGCATTCTGCAATCGTGCTGGCACTGAGAACAAGTTGAGTTCGCGCGCCCGACGCAACAGCCTGTTCGAGTTGTTTCGACCTTCTACTGCTCTCTGAAGTGCGTGAGTTCGATAGGCTCATGCTATGGTGTTGGGATATATCATGCCTGTCATCCCTGCGGTCATTCCACGCCTGGTAGTCAAATGTCTGGGGTGCGCTCTACCAGCAGTGGTCCAGCACCGATGATGGATATGGTGGTGTTCGGTCCCGAAGCTGTCACGGTGCTACATCTCTGTTGACTAACCACTCCAAAACTAAACAACGTCGGTGAGTGAAGGAAAATAGAATCTGGCCTATCGATTTGGAACCAGTTGGAATGTGCAGCAACACCGTGACAACATGACTCGACGAGTAGATATCATCTCACGAATGGACACAACTGCACCCGATGCCGGCGGTTCAAATTCTCGGTCTCGATTCTCCCTAAGTATGTACTACATCCTAGAGCTTGGTTTTTTTCTAGTTCTTGCGCACTGGCAGCATTCATCGGACCTTCCTGAACTCTCGTTTGGAGAGATGCCTTTGCTGGCTATACCCCATAACCTGCGCTCTTGGGAGGCTTAACGAGGCCAATCAGTATGCTAGATGATACTAGATATATGAGCACCCATAGACTTACTTCAAGGGTTCGACTCGGAAGACAAAAAGCGAGTCATGGTTTACTACCTATCTCACACCACATATCTCCTCCAGTGAGTCACCACATCACTTGTATCAATTTAGATACCTCTATTGATCGTGGCTATGAGCGGCTGTGGCCCATGACTCTTCGTTTGTCGGTTCGACAGTTGCAGCCCGCACAGATAAAATTCTATAATTATGTTTGTCAATTTACAGCGTGTCTGCCGGGAATCACTCACCATTCATCAGACAGCAGGGAGCGACTTCCATGCATACGTAAAAGAGTCCCATCGTGTATCAGATATCAGGTCCCATTGGTGCCTGGTTGCAATCTCTATATTGGAATGTGGCCAGATCAACCACCCTTGTCAGATCGACAACATCACGCTGAAGTCGCCCTGCTTGGCGTTGTGCATGTTTCCCGACAGCTCCCACGTCAGCGTCTGCCACATTCCTTTATTGCTTGTGATGATTCCATGATCCTGGCTCAAGTGACTTTGGAAAGTGTGCAATCTGTCACAACATTAGTGGGTTCGCTCGTTGGCTCGCTAGATAATTATGCCAATGGGATACCATTCTTCACGGGGAGCTGTATGGACTTAATTTGGTGTCGAGATGCGATGATTCATCTGAGAAGCATCAAAGTTGTCTCCGATTTTGATTGATACATCAACGCTCATACCTATCAGCGTCATTTGCGCGAAGCTAATCCGAGCAACAACTCCTATCCTTCACACCGTCTGATACTGCATCCTCCGAGACCAATCTCTCTCCTACCTAATCATTTCCTCCTGTGCTATAGACGACGACGCTCACGCTCGCACGCTTGCCTTTAGATGTGATATTCATTGGGCAATCTCCGTCTGTAATTTGCGAACAAAGGACGTTGACCTCCAAGGATCTAGAGTGTATGAGTATCTCTCATATGATCCAAGATTAGAATGAGAGCATCTAAGACCGCCGCGGACAATAATGAGGAGAGGGGTCATTGTCTATGTTTAAACCTTCATCAGTCATCGTGTTTGTAGACGCTCAGGAACTGGAGGCTTACAGCGACTTGCATTGCAATGTTGCTTCCCACTAACCCTGCAATATTACCTGCTGCCCATAAACAAAATATCACGAATGTACAGGCTGCGATGAGCGCCCCAGATTCCACGATCGTTATAATGGTGCCTTTGTACCTGAAGCCGCCGCCGGAGGTCAGAGCAGCTGTCTGCTGACCTGTTTGCCAGATGCGGTACACGATACCAGCAGTTAATGTAACATTTAAGATCATCTCGAGTGACCATCCAGACAATGAGAGGGCTCGAAAGGTATACGAAAAGATGCTAGCATTCTTAGGCGCGAGCAAGGCGACGGCGACAGAAGCGGTAGCTATGGAAGTCATGTTCACAAGATGATGCAGCGACTAGAAGATGATGCATACCGCAGTGAGCTACCCACGTAATGAGCTAAAGAAGAGGTTCAGTATCATTAACAGCGTCCAAATCCGTGATCTAAATTACCGGTAGAATGCAAACTTTGAAATTCTGATTCCAGACGACGTAGAGTCTCCATATCTTTGAAAGATCTATGTATGAGAATATACATGTATGTTCTCGCCGCATGTACTGACCAAAAGTAGTTCTTGAGCAAGTGACTGCATCGACAATTATTTCGTCCGAAGTCGAGCGAGCGAGATCAAATTTCAGACTCACATTGACAATATAGATCAACTGACCAGCTAAGAAAATGGGGTTTCCGGTAGCTGCGTAGTACAAGTTTGCCCCGTCAGGAGTAGCAGCAATCGTCGTATTTGTGAATGCAATCATTGCTTGTATAAACATCAATATCACATGTGCAGTTGACATTGCGAATTGAAACGAGGTAGCACAGAGCAGAAGTCTGCTGTAAACAAATCAGGACGCAGACAAGAGGACAGTGGTGAAATATTCACCTGTGGGCTGGACTCCTAATTGAGATTACACAAACACATGTACCAAATAATATGCAACTATGATTTTTATTTAGATTGACGTATGCCTCATGGGAAGTGAACGAATTACTTGATTCCTGCAAAAGTGTTCAGCATCTGCAGTTCCCAACAAAGTTTCCACTCTACCGTAAAGTATGGCCGCTAGCCACATACACATGAGATTCATCTGGGCAAGCGTCTGCTCAGAAGACATTTTACTTGATGAGATTAGAAGAGTTGAATGGGAAGGGTCTTTATAAGTAATTCCATCAACAGAGTTTTATAGCGGCAAGGCTTCAGCGTGACGCAATAGCGCCGTGGAAATGAGCACCGATAGACTTGCACGATTCGAAAGTAGGAAAGCATGTCATTGCCTCCATCATGATCGTAGGCTACGCACAGCTGTGCCCCAGGGGCCAGGAGTTAGTTTTGTCAGTTCCTTCGACAGTTGCAACACACACAGATCAAATGCTGTAATGACATTCGTCAATTATGGTACGACAGATCCGGATTCAACATAGTTTCGTAAGCAGAGTGACTTTCATACTCCATTTAAAACTCCGCCCGGGTCTTGAACGTGGCATATACTTACTTGATCGATGATCCACCAAATGTTCCCCAATTATCAATACAACGAGTTGAATGAATATGTAACGCTTGCAGCAGTGGGTCCTTGCTCGTGTTGGGATCCTGATTTCCGCAGAATTCTCAGACTCCAACTCACAGACTCACTGGCACTTCATCATGGGCGCTCGAGGAGACACTGCCCGTAATATGGGGTTGATGCTTCTAGTTAGGATCGCCGGCCAGGGCAGCCTTTCTCGGATTCACCCCAAAACACCTTCCCTTCTTTATGATACAGTCCGTTCGCGAAGTTCACTTTTCCAGACTCTGATCACGCAGGAATGATTCTAAGCCACCTCTAACTTTCAAATTGAATTTTCCATCTTTTGCCAATTTCAAGACTAAAGACCACCCTATCAGAACAGTGGTAGGGTGTAGAAGCTCTCCATCATCGGCGGAGAAATTCTGTCCGCAAGGTCAGTCTTGATTAAAGTAGTGATCATGTCATCTGACAAGTCTCGAAGCAGTCAATTGAGTTCAGAGTTCCTACCGGGTTGAGATGTGTCTCAGCCACACATTTCTAACCGATTAGAACCAGGACCACCTTGGTCACGGATCATAGCACAGTAACATGGAATATGAAGAAGAAGTTGATGAAGGCGTAACTTTCTTACCATTCATGTTCGTGATACGTTTCTGACATTGACAGGTAGGGGGTTGCTGGCGACCGGTGACCGTCACCTGCCTAGTACCATGTAGCGCTGAGCGCTGCACTTGACTCAGTGGATATCGCCGCTAGAATGCATTAATTCACAAATACAGTCACATGCACAACCATGTGAGTATTTTGGCTCCGTCCCAGGAACATTCATAAATGACATCAAAATAGAAACAGCATATTGAGACGGCTTAGTTCTAACCGGTGGTGGCGTTCTGATAGTTCGCCTGGTACTTCATGTCCGACATCATTGCAAGCGCTAGCACAACATTCCAGCTGACCGTCTTCGCATCAAGGATCTTGGGTCCTTTGGCCTGGAACTGGTTCTAGCATGGAGATCTACTGGATTGAGTTTGCTAGAATGGGGCCTTGGCCGATCTGGGGTCAAGTCTGATCCCCCTAACGTTGGCCTAGACTTGGTCCCAGACGACCGCTCCAGAGAATTCATCGAAGAAACGACGTGCGAGTGCTCCTGTCCAAATATTCACTGCGCTGTGCGGTCACGGAATTGGTCAATCCTTCTGATTCTCCGAATGAAAAGTACAATATATATTGTGGGTTTCGGTGCTGTTCACACTAGAAGAGCCTTTTCCAACACATCATATCTTCAATATCACTTACGCTTACCATGGATTTTGGGGGAGACGTGTTAGGCTATTGGGGTCGAAACATCATCCAAGAGTATGATAATGTTCTGCTCAAAAAGCTTCCTGGGCATTCTGGGCCCCTGGCTGGTCGTCGACAGACCCAGCAGCTACCGCTCTCCAAGGTTGGCTTTCGTAAGACAGCCTATCCGGTTGGAATTTTAGGGGCAGGAGTTGGTGGTTTATACACCGCTCTCATGCTAGATTCGCTGGACATCAAGTACGAGATCTTGGAGGCGTCGGACCACGCCGGTGGCCGCCTCTTCACCTACAAGTTCCCAAAAGGCAAAGAATATGATTACTACGTGTGTTACTCGTTTGATGCTGCTGTACCGATGATTAACCTCTTGTCTCTCTCGCTAACTAGGATGTTGGGGCCATGAGGTACCCCCTGCCGCAGAAGGACAGTGAAGGCAATTACAAGACCGGTATTATGAAGCGCCTGGGCGAGTTAATCAACTATCCAAAGCTCAACGACGGTCCCGAGCCTCTAAAGTCCACACTTATCGATTACTATTACAAGGCGAGGGAAGAAGGATCTTTCCTCTACTTCAACAATGAACGCTACCAAGTCTCTGAGGTATCGCACCCTCCTGACTTCTGTGCCCGGGAAATGGGTGTCGAGTCTGAGTATGTCGCTGTGGGAGTAGAGAAGATTGTCGACGACGTCGTTGAGCCATTCGCCCGCATGCTCATAAACGATTTGGAGAAGCAGGTTAATAAGGGATGGGAGGTCATGAAGGCGAACGACGCATATTCGCTTCGTGCATACATGTCGTTCAAGTACATTCCCAGCGTCGACCTCAAACTCCCGCCTATGCATCTTACCACCAACGTTATCAATTGGTGTGAGACGTTCGACAACAGCACCGGCTCGTATGACCGCGGTTTAACTGAAGCAGTTCTCGAGACGCTGGCGTTCGCCAAGGCCGATTCGGGAGTCATCGGTGAGGTAGAATGGAAGTGTTTCAAGTAAGCACGCCCGTTGTCTCCGAATTCATGCTCTCACACTTCCCGTATCCAGAGGCGGTTCTCACGTGCTCGTCGACCATATGACGAAGTACATCACTGCTAACGGCACCAATGATCTCATCAAGCTCAACCAGAGAGTCACCCGCATCTCTGAGGGTGGTGAAGACACCATGAAGGTTCATGTGCAGGGCGAATATGATAGCCGCACATATTCACATGTTATATCGACCATCCCTCTACCGTGCCTGCGGACGATTGATCTCTCTGGTGCTGGTTTAAACGTGCTGCAGAAAAACGCATTGCGTAAGCTGCAGTATGGTCCTTCAATCAAAATTGGGATCCGCTTCAAATCAGCGTGGTGGACGGATCTATTCGATATCGTAGGAGGCCAATCATTCACTGACCTTCCTATTCGAACTATCGTCTACCCCTCTTACGGTGTCGATTCTAGCTCACCGTCCACAGTGCTGATCGCGAGCTACTGTTGGACAAATGACGCAGAGCGCTTGGGAGCGCTCGTCAGCACCGGTAAAGAAGGGTACATCGAGCAACTCAAGGAACTCGTGCTGCGCAATCTCGCAGAAGTACACAGTGATCCCGCCACTTATGATTTCTTGTCGGAGCAATTCTTGGATATGCATGCATGGGACTGGAACTACGACCCACTCACCATGGGTGAGTCTGTAAATGTTGATGTGATCCAATTGATACTTACTCGCTCCACTAAGGTGCCTTTGCGTACTTCGGGCCCGGAGATTTCCAGGATTTGTACACGTCTCTCAGTGTTCCAAATAACAACAAGAGGTTCCATTTCGCTGGAGAGGCTATTAGCACCCGTCATGCGTGAGTGAAGCACTCGTCTTTGGGATGATTCCAATTCAAAAGGCAATGTCACTTGCAGTTGGGTTGTTGGTGCATTGGATAGTGCATGGCGCGCAGTGTACGAGTACCTGCTCGCTTCTGGACAGCCTGAAGCCACTATTGCAAAATTCTTCAAACTGTGGGGCAAGAACGTTGAGTGGGTATATCCATCGTCCTGGTATGATGAAGAAGGGCGCAGTGCAGATGATCCGGACGCGAACACCATGCTACGAGTCCACATGGCGTGCACATATGCTGGTGAAACATCTGGGGAGGTGAGGTTCTGAACAAGACGTAGTAGTTAGCTTGGCAATATTAACTGAATTTGTAACATTACTCACCTTGTACTATCATTGATGACTTGTTCGCTCCTAGGAACTGAAATATATCATGTGTTTCCGTCCACTTTCGAGTGCTAGTCGTGAGTGCTGATTCCTGAAGCACTGAATTTTTGTATCGCATCGTGCTTGGTGAGCACGAATTCGTCTAAGGGGAAGGGGAAATCGATAAACATTCTTGAAGCAGCTGGGGCTGCTCCACGGCGCTCAACCAGTACTTGTACTCTGCATAGCTGGACGAAGCCTAGAAGTATCAACAATTTTATTTTTTGAATGCTTGTCTCCCTTAAAAGTTATAACTCGTCTAACTAGATCCACGGGGAGGATGCAAATCCTTTTTTAATTCTCTGACTACGTCAAGACCTGCTATTACTATTAGTCCCTTCCAACAAAATTTAGACCCTTCGCAAAGACATCAAGCAACGTGTGGCTGCAAACGTCTGCCAGACCCCCTGATGTAACTCAGCGCATGCGTAGCGGTCAACCCCTACTATTTATGTAACCGCACATAGCCGTGTGACCATCACGCAGTCACCGAAAGACAACAACTTGAACTTAACGTCGACTCACCCCTCAGTTCTATAGGTTGGGCGAGGGAGATTGACCTTTCATCGGCCTATCCAACTCTGTACATAAAAACAGGATCGGACTGCTTTCCGATATGTTTTCTGACGTTCCTGAGAGTCCAACAGCAGCTAATTTGGCGGACATTTTCATAGAAGCCGGCGCCAACCTTAACGCCATCGATTTTAGTATTTATGACTTAACTTCACCTTACGCTGATTAACATCTGGTCTTCAAGGTCAATGCGGCGAGGCCTTGAAGTTCATCATGGAGCCAAACCCCGAGGAGGAGTATGCGGTATGCTGGAATTCATGGGCAGGGTGCAGGCACTCATTTGATCATTGTAACAGGAGTTTTTTGATGTTAGTCCCATGGTACACTTAATAGTATCGCACATCATCGAGTTGAATTGGATATGGTTACCGGCAAGACCAAGGTAGGGCGAATAGATCTCTTCTTGTCATTAATAATGGACCACTTTTTTTGCAGATGGAGTTACTTCAAGGACGATCGCATCCTTCTCATCGAAATGCGCAGTTGCATGCACGAAGCCCCATTAATGCACTTGGAATCGATATTCTGTCACTTTTTGCGTGGCTTCGTTCATAACCCTGTGCTTACCACGACAACCATGAGCAGTCGGTTAACATCTACAGATACCATCCCAGACATAGCAATTGCAATAGCTGTACCAAATACGGACTACAATTGGATTCGTAAGCCTCTTGTCATCGTGGAATGTGCATTTGCACAGGACACAGATTCAGTTCTTCGGAAAATCAAACATGAAATCGCCGGCCAACCAGAAGTTTTGATGGTCATATTGGTTGTAATTGATGAACATCAACCATATCGCTCGCCTGAACGTATGTCCGAAGCATGGCAGATGCTAAGCCAGGAGGCATCATGTCGCTCAGATTCTTCGTTCGCTTCGCTTAAAGGGGATGCAGCACGATCTTACAATCATCGCGTCGTGATCGCAGGTCATACATGGTGTCACCTTGGCTCTGTTCGATTTCACGTTTGGGTGCGGGGGAATGAACCAATCAACATTGATGATGATGATGAACTGCATGCATGTGGTGTAAGTATCTACAAACACTCATCACCTTCGCCTCGTTGATGGCTTTATGGCAGACATTGCTTCCAAACCGAGATATGGATGCGGTCGATACCATGATCGAGAATGGCATGGTGATGATGCGGGACTCTATTGCAATTGTCTGCCAGGAGGTGGCTCTGGGCCGTGACGTTACTGCCCTTCAAGACACTGTCGTTGCTGCCCTTCAAGATACTGTCATTGCTGCCCTTCAAGACACTGTCGTTTCTTTCAGCCCTGATTGGGACCTCCTGCTGATGAAATTGAATTTTGCGGTCGCGGAGGCTGCCTATCACCGGTACCATTCATGGTACAAATCGTCCCCCTGAGACCTCCCTGCCACCACGCTTTGCAATATCATAACGACGCTTATTCAGTGCTTGTCCCCCTGTGAAGACAGGTTGTGAGAGTGTATGTGATGCATCATGTGTGGATCGTTACAGTGACCGTAGAGGCAAGAACGCCTACTTCACAATCCCAGGTGCCGTGACACCAATATCCCATACGCGTATCCGTATCCGTATCTGTATACTTACTGTTCTCTGTACATATAGAGGCTTGCCACAAGCCAGGTGTCAAATGTCGCCCAGGTAGAGAGATGTGGATAATTTACACGGAAAATTACAGTTTTGTACTTGATGAATGCCCTCATTCATAAGGATTGTCAATTTGTGTAGATGGAGGTAGGTGTATCAGTTCTTCAAGCCATACTTCGCAAAGAAAGTCGTCTGTGGAATCTTCCTCCCTTTGAAGCACGTGAGTTCTGGGACAATTGTTGAGACGGGGGGTTCGAGCTTGGTTCTCATATTATAGTTCCAGGCTTGTGAGCACGCTCCCATGCGAAAGGGACTGGTAATTTAAGGGTTTTCTGAGCGCTTGATGTCAACGCGGGTTGTTTACGGATCAAAAATCGCTCGGTGGCTATCATAATATGTATATTTGTTCTACGGTATGTAGTAACCTATGACTAATTCAGGACAGCCCGTCCTTCCACAAATTCTAGGATGGTTTCTCGATGCTCCATATCCCGTGACCAACAACTCTGAATGAACTCCCAGTCAATATCACCTACAACAGGTGCAGGCGGCCTTCTGGGTCTTATTCCTTGCGACATGCAGTGAATTATGGCTTCATATCTGGCAAGAAAATGGTATGGGATCTTGCCCTCCAAAACCTGCAAGAAGATGAGCTGATTCAATTAGGATCCATCCAGGCTACGTGCCTGCAGCATGATCCCTCCAAAAGAGTACACATCGCTTTTTGGACTGAATACCAGTGACACGTTGTCTTCATCAAGTATTCTGGCGTCATATATGGCGCGGTGCACGTGGGATTGGTGGGCAATAATGCCTGACTCGTTCTTTCAGGAAGGAGGGCAGAGAGACCAAAATCGGTGAGGCTTACTTTTCCATTCTTGTCAATAAGAACATTATTCTAAGAAAACTTCAGTTGAGCGTTCATGGATCTCATGAGGACATACGCACACCGCTCAAGTCTCCATGGATGACTGACTGCGAGTGGACTGCCCGATTCAGTGTCAATTGACTCTCGCATCAACGACAGAAAACACTGAACATACGATAATGGCAAGAGAAGACATGCATTTTCTCATGCACAGTTCCTTCAAAGATATGGAGACTCTGTGTCGTCTGGAATCAGAACATCAAAGTTTGCATTCTACCGGTAATTCAGACCATGGATTCAGGCGTTGTTAATGATACTGAATCTCTTCTTCAGCTCATCATGTGGGTAGCCCACTGTGGTACGCATCCATCTTCTAGTTGTTGCATTGTTATGTGAACATGACTTTCACAGCTACCACTTCTATCGCCGCCGCCTTGCTCGGAGGAGATACGTGGTGTGAGATAGGTAGTAAACCATGACTTGCTTTCCTGCTTTCCGAGTCGAACCATTGAAGTAAGTGCAAGTCTATTGGTGCTCATCTATCTAGTATCACCTAGCGTACTAATTGGCCTCGTTAAGCCTCGCAAGGACGCAGGCTACGAGGTTTAGCCAGCAAAGGGATTTCCAAACGAGAGTTCAGGAAGGTCCGATGAATGTTGCCAGTGCGCACAAACTAGAAAAAAACAAGCTCTAGGACGTGGGTACTTAATCGAGAATTCGAACCGCCGGCATCGGGTGCAATAGGGTCCATTCTACGTGAGATGATTTCTACTTACTACTCGTCGAGTCGTCGTGCTGTGTTGCCGCACATTCCAGCTAGTCCCAAATCGATAGGCCAGATTCGATTTTCCTTCACTCGCCGACGTAGTTCTGGAGTGGTTAGTCAGAGACGTCAACAAAGCTGTAGCACAGCTTCGGGACCGAACACCATCATATCCACCCCAGACATTTGACTACCAGGTGTAGAATGACTGCAGGGATGACAGACGCGGTATATCTCAATGAGCCTATGAACTCGCGCACTTCAGAGAGCAGTTGAAGGCTGAAACGACTCGGACAGGCTGCTGCATTGGGCACGCGAACTCAACTTGTTCTCAGTGCCAGCACGATTGCAGAATGCACCATTCCCTAACTTAGAGCGACAGCGATACAAGTGCTAAGAGTCCAGAGTAATTTTACCATCGCTAACACATTCTCTTCATCCCGAGGGCTTGGAACCCATAGGTGCGCCTACCGTCTCAGTGTACACATGTACCTCCAGAGTCACACAATGATTTTTTTCCACACTCAGGCAAGTGGGCACAAATCCAGCATTGGTAATGGTGTTTACTACAAGGAAGCAAATGAACATTATGTTGTGCCGCTCACATGTAGCTCATCCACCATTTGCAGGTTGTTTGTGGTCTTAAACAGTCCAGCCGCGCATGATCAAGTCATGCACGTGGTTCAAGAAGGTCATCAGCCGCTTGACTAGTGGATACGGAGCTCTTGAGCAATTGTGGTGCTTGCATCGTGGCAATAATGTGACTATTGTGCAAACCGTGATCGTGCTTTACCGAATCTAGTGGACGCGTCTGCTCAGTTAAGTGGTTTGTTATTCATCCAGTCCACAAGTCCACCGATTAACCAGCTATAAAACTCGCTGCTCGACATGACATCTTCCATCAACTCATCTTTGCTTCATTCGCATCATGATGTTCTTCACTGAACCTGTCCGAACGAGTTCCTATTCTCTCGACTACTATCCCCACTACAGCCCCGTAGTCTTACTCTCTGCGCGTGCTCGTGCTGCCCGGTATCTTTCCGAGCAGCGTGAACGTGCATGGGCTCTGCGTTACCAGCAGCAGCCTCTGAATCAGCCTACCCCAATTGCCCTCCTTGCTCAAGAGTGCGACGAATTTCCCGACCAGCAGTGCATCATGCACGTCTTGCGTACCTGTGCGCCGCAGCATGAGGACAAAATTGGCCACATCATGGCCTGCAAACACACTGAAATGCGGCATGCCAACCACGAAGTACGGCAAATAGCTGAAATGCAGTGGACCGCGATCCAACAGTTGCAGGGTATGGCTGATTTACGAGCTGACATCGAGGAGGCACAGATTTTTGCTCACCACCGTGCAAATGCCGAGAAATTCCTCGAGGAAGCTGAGACCTACCTCGAGGATTTTCTACCTCCGGATCAGGAGCCATGCCTGACTAACTTTGAGCCTTTTGATCTGCCTGATGATTCTGTATGTCCTCACTCGTCCAGCAACCCTGTTTCATGTCACTTACACGTTCCTCAGATCTCAACTTCCACCTCCGAGGTCATTGTCCAGGATGAGCCTTTACTCGAGGACGTAATGGGAGACTGTGTTATGACAGAGAGCCATCGTGCGGCAGAGTACCGGTCTGAAGTGCTCAATACGCTCCAGTCGATCCTTGGCTGTCTTTCTGCAGACCCTTCGACTGAAGTTCCTTCCGAATACGTTCCTGTACTATTCACTACCGCGGAGACTTCTAGGTCGGTGCAGGCCAACGTCGACGAAGAGGGAAACACATCCTCATAGGAGGGAAAAGGAAAGGCCAAGGGGATCCCTGGATTTGAAGAAGACTTTGTGGCTGTCAAGTAACCCGCCCTCGGAGGACGTCATCGAAGTGGATGTGGCCGCGTTGTGAGCTGTGAGGGCGAGAAGCGGTGTCATATTTTTCCAGGCTTGATCGTCTTGTATCTTTTAATTTAGATATCACCTATGTCCTACGTATACTTTGTTCATATGCGACTCTATTACGGTACTCCAGATTGTACTCAAACTGCAAATCCATGTATCTCGTGTAACGCAACGCATCAATGATCGACGATCACCCCGATAGATTCTAGCGCATGTGATTATCTGAAACTTGTATCTGTAATAGCTGAACCGTTGGTCGCATGCCCATGACAAGAAATTCGCCTTCAGGTCATGCGAGATCCTTGAACTCTCCAAGTCCCACAGTATGTACACATCACCCTAGGGAGTTTAGTTCTGGTGTTGTGCAGCGCTGTAATTTAACATCATATAGTACTGTACGTTTTGAAATAAACACGTGAAATTGTGAATCCCATGGGGAATGTGCATGAGGCCTCGGCCTCATCTCCCTACTTCGCCAGATCAAACCCATGTATTGACTGGTGGGGCACGTCCCACACCAGGGCATTTGCGAATTCAGAGATGCAATCAGGGCACCGGGGGCCGGCCTTAGACTAGGTCGAATTGTCCTCTCTCAATTGATAGGACAAAAATTGGAATTAAAAAACCCCCCATGTATAATCTCGAAACATACCTCCGATTGACGGCTATCCAAGCCTCATGTCCGCTTTATCACAGTTAAATCTATCTATAAATGTCTCCCATCATGATCACCGCCAGTCAAGCCAACTAACTGGCTCTACACATCATCCTCCCAATCATCCGGTATCGCCTCTTCCTCTCCACCTATCTCCAGACTAGCTGCCTCCCTCGCGCGCTGCACAGAAGACGACACCCACGCTCCACCACTCGGTTTCAAATTCAAAGTAGCAGTACCAACTTGAGTCCCTCCCGAGCTCGAGGACGCACCAGGCGCAGGCGAAGAACTCCCAGATCCAGACCCAGGGCGTGTGACAACTGCTGTCCACCTCCCGCCTGCTTCTGCGACCTTTGGTTGGGGTTTGGCCCATACTCCACTTCCGCTCGTCACGCTCGATATAGGCTTCGGAGCTCGTAAATCAGCGAGTTTGCCTAGGACTGCAGGTGATGGCATTGGTGATGGGAGCGACGCAGATAGGAGTGGCGTCGGGATGCGCGTGTCAACGCGCCGGATAAGCTGTACGCTTCGGTGAGGTTCTTGATCAATCATCTGTGTATCCATGCGGTAGACAGATGCGAGCTGGGCGCAGTTGATATATCAGCATCACAAAAAACAATGTTTCAAAAACTGGAAGAAATAAAAGGAACTCACGTCATGCACGATTTTACGTCGTTCAGGAGGCATGTGCGGCAGGACTTGCGTGCGTTTGTCAGAAGTGATGAAACTAGAACAGAGCTAGAGTGAGAACGTGCATCAGATTCATGAGAGATACCGTCACTCACTCTGCAAACGTCTTCTCCACTAGCCCCACAAACTTACTGTTCGCTTTCGTGAAAGTCACTAGGTCATCATTGTAAGTGACCTTGACCTGTAAACCCTCGCGCTTCTCGGGACTGATGCCAAGAGCGTCTGCAAGTCGCGCATTGCGTTTCTTGATCGCGCATTCACCAGTGCATTTGAGCTGGGTGGTTGAATTTCCTTGGGAGCATGGGATAGAGGAGCGGAGGAGGCCGCAGGGACAGGTGAGAGTGACGAGTGCGAGACAGGCCTCGGTTTCAGGGCATGCTGCTGGGGCGTGGCATGGCTGGGTGCATGGGTGTTGTGCTGGCAAGCTAGATTAAAGGAGAAATTTATATCAGTTGAAGTGAGGAGAATGGAAGAACTTACCATGATTTGCGAGACTTGCCGCATACAGCGGCACACGTTCCACAGTCGTCTGCGTGGCACAGGCGTTCGCAATGATGGAAACCGCATGATAGCAATCTGTGAAGCAACAGTAAAGTTAATCGATACGATCACTGTCAGACAAACACAAAACTCACTTTCCGCATACCGTACCACAACTCACACGCTCCTGCGCACATCTGACATTATCCACCATCTTCTTTCCGCATGCACACTGTTTGCTGGTGAGGAAAGGACACGGTGGGCAAGGAGATGCTTCCACTGGTTCGCTTGGATCCGCACCAGCGATGATGACGCCCTCATGACACGCATGAGGGACGCGCGAATGGCCACATGGAGGTGAAGGCCTTGCGCACGGATAACTGCAAGTCATCGTCGTACCGCATGGAATTGGAGGCTCCAAAGCCGTCCGGCCACACGGGCATATAAGCTATTCGAACGTCAGGCCCAAACATAACGATAATCAATAGAAAAGACAACTTACATCTTCATAAACACTCTGCAGACACACCCCACACGCGCCTCGGTGGTCCTTTCGCTCGCACCGGTGATTCCCACAGCTCAACATCTTCCCACACGGGAGGTCACACTCGTGCAGCCCGCCTTCTTCAGCACCAAGCTCGTCCAACAATCCTGCGCGTTTCTTGCCCTTTCCTTTTTGCGCAGCAGCAAGAGACGCGAGAGGGCAGCAAATGCGATTGCATTGGTGGCGTCCGCATATGCGTAGGGCGATGCATGCACGATCGCAAAGAACATCACCGGCTTCGTTACCTTCACTGGTTTCGATGACTTCGCCGCACTTGATCATCACTTTCGTTGCTCCGCATCGACAGGTGCGCTCTATGAGCTCGGTGCATGGTGGGCAGGGACCAGTATGACAGCTTACCCCACATTGGTGCGAGCAGTCGGGTAAGGTTTTGATGCACTGTTGCTTGCATGTAGGCACAGGAACAGTACAAGATGTGCGGGGTCCGAGGAAATACGCAATGTCTTTGCCACTGGCGTCGTATTTGGGAGTGGTTATTGATTCCAGTTCGTGGATATAGCGATCGTGTTGTTCGACAGTAGGGAGAGCGAACCTGCTGCAGGCGCAGGTTTGCATGATGGATGGATCAAGCGGGCATCTTGGAGGTGTGAACGACGGGGGATGACATCCTTTCTCGCAGGCGTGTACTCCGCATGCAAAAGGCCTGTGAAAGGGACGTCAGCATACATGTGCGTCACAATGATTTTAGAATAAGGTAGGATATCCTTTATCAGTTGCAGGAGATACGTTGGAGTAAAAAGAGAATATGGATATATGTGCTGCATCATGCGCGAGCCTCCATCAAATACGCGCCGCAGGGAATAAGCAAGATGAAGGTGAATTAATACTTGCCTGCCACACACGCCATCGCATTCATAGCGGCCCTCCCAACCAAGCTCTCCCTCAACAGCGCATACAACAGCCCACTTTTTCCTGTCGCCACACGGCACTTCTTTCTCCTCTTTCCCACAATAACACGCGACGATTTCAGCCACGACACATGGCTTGCACTCACCGGGGTGGCAAACCTGAGCACATGTATGCTGAGGATTCCCACACAACAAGGGTTTACTACAAATGACGCCACAGGAAACGCCAGTAGTGGCATTTGGAGACGCCAGGGAAGAGCAACGGACCGTTGAGACTTGGCGTCCACACCAACAGCCCTTCCGGACGGTAACGGCGCACGGTGGACAGGGACCAGGGTGGCAGGGAAGAGGACAGCCGTGGCCACAAGCAGAAATACGTACGCGGGAGCAGGGAAGTGCACAGCTATGTGGGGTGACAAGGCGAGTAGGGGATGGATCTGTGATGCGATGACAAAAGCACCTGATGGTAAGATGTAAGTACACGATACAGATAGGTAAGTAGCACTTGCCGATAGCTGGATGGTACAGATTCACGTTTGGCTTGACAACCGGGACATCTCCATTCGCCGGTACGTTCCTCGCCACGGGCACGCCATGCATCTTGAAGATCCTTGACGCTTTTGGAAGCCCAAGCCCGAATGCACTTCAGGTGAAATGTAGTCCAACAGCATTGGAGGTTTTCGGAGTGATCTGAAGAAGAGCAGGACCAGGTGGGCTGTTCTGGACGAATGGGGTTGAAGCAAATTGGGCAGTCAGGATAAGGATGGGTGCTGAGGGCATGAGTAAGGGTCGAAGTGAGGTCATCGGCGAGAGGTGCCTTGGGTCTTGGAGGTTTGGCTTTCTTGAGCAGCAAAGAAGCTTTCTGTGAGAGATGGGCTTCAACTTCAGGTTTTGAGTCACCAGTTAATGGTATCGGTTCAGAAAGTGACGGATTGAATTTGGAACGCCGGGATGGACGCTTCGACTGCGGTTGGGGTTGAGAATCAGTGACGTTGGGTTCATTCACAGTGGTGGCCCCCTGGGGACGTCTGGGAGGGCGATTCTTCCTTGACCGTGCATTTCCATCACCTGTTTCACTTGCAACAGAGTTAGAGCCAGTTGTGGTCTGGGAAGCGCCAGGTGGTCTACGCCAATTTGAGCTTCCCTGCCCGTGATCATGAGATCGGTCCTGATCAAAGTTTCGGCGAGGCTTCCTGCTGCCTGTACCATCTGTCTCCGGAGCAACTACGACAATCGAACTAGCTGCATTCGCTGAAGGAATGTGACTTCTGGGACGATTGCCACGACGGTTTCTGTTCGAGTTTGAGGTTGGATTCGCTAAAGCGGGTACTTGGTTTTCAACTTGATGTTGGATTGTAGTTCCAGGTGAGGACGTTTCCATGCGAAGGGGACTGGTATAAGCTAGTATAAGCTGCTGGCTCTATGGGTGCTGGAGGCGAAATATATATTGCTGAGTCAGCCTTTCCGGCTCCGGCCCAGGCGAGTCACTGGGCACTGAGTAAAAATGACTATGCTTTTCCGGTGACTCTACGCTATTTCTGATATCTGCGTGGTGGTATGTTCAAGGTCAAGTGACTCGGCTGTTACTATGATTGATATCGATATTCACGGTAGAATCTGCTGTTTGTGGGAAAATTAATATATCCGTTACGGCTACACTTGGTTGCCGGTGACCAGTCAATGCCCAACTTTCACTCCCTTTCCCATTTGTTTCGTTCGTTTTGCGTTAACCCTCGTCGCTAGACAAAGTACTTTTGCAGGCCCATTCATTGTTGCTAAATCTAACCGAAACGCTAGAGGAAACTTCAAATTTGATTCTGCTCGACATCACAAAGATCATGCGTCACTACCGGTTGATACGCGTACGCGTTCCTGCACAATAATTGTACTCATAGCGAACGAAAGGGACAAGGTGTACAAATATCTGCATGAGTGAAGAAAGGTCGACATGATGTCTCCTGCAGAAGATGAGTTAAAATTATCGGGATAGTGAAATGGAGACGTTGATGAAGCGGTTGCAAACATACGTCGTGCAGAAGTTTAGAAGTTCAGCGGAAAATCTGATCACCGAGCTCAAAGTGCCAAGTTTCAGTAACACCGCGAAGACCCCCGATAGATCACCAAGTTGACTTCATGGAAGTGTTGAAAGACAACCCGGACTGCAAGACACAGTGCGAGGACCTCCCATGGAGTGCTGAGTGTCCAAATTTCGGTCACAATTTGTATCGCTGGTAAACTGATAGATGCTGAAGAGGACAAGTACCTCGCTGATGAACCTGATCGTTCACCCATAATCCTTACCACTTGATATGTCACCGCTCACTCAGTCGCTCTGTAGTAGTGCAGTTAAATGGACGGGAATGGCAGATATCGGTGCAGATTACTCACCACATCTGTCGTCGTGACTCCCGAGAGGCTCGCTTCATGCAACCAGCCAGAAGTCACAAATGCACTGTACGTGAGAAAGCATACATGGCACATGATGATGCTATTCATGAGAGATGACTTGTTAGCTGAGTGCAAATTTGTAATCCACACAAATTAGCGAACTTCTTAGAGGCGATGATGCGAGGGATTTACGTGATAATTATCCCGAGATGATCAGTCAATGCGCTGAATGAGCTGCACCCACCAATGAGGTTCTTGATTGGCATCTGTATAAGGTAGCTACTACTAGACACGCATATAGTTAGTATATCAGCATCACAAAAATAAATCATCGACAGGACTGAGACGACACGAACTTATATTATGCACAAATAGTCTCTGCCGAGAGAATACCATATGTAGCAAGTGTTGCGTGCATGCGTCAGAAACGACGAAACTAAAACACAGATGAAGTGAGAACGCGCCGCATCAGGCAATGGCAGTGACCACTTACTCTGCCGAAGGCTTCTCCGAAACCTACCGTGAATTCACCCTCACAAAGCTGTCAGGGTGATAGATTAATGAGAGCAGATTGATGCACGGCTGCATGAGGCATTAGCGTCTGACTTGGTGGTGATCGTAGGATCGTACCTCTCAGGCTGGCCTTGAAGACAGCTCCTGGAACCACTTGTGTTCAAAGTGGTCCATTTCCCCACCAAAATCTACGTGATCGACATTCTTTGCCGTTTAATTCAATATTCGACTATTAGGAGGAGGACTAGTTTCAAGACGTAACGTTTCGAGAAATGTGGTGAGACCCTCATCAGTGAATTCAAGAGTCCTCGATATTGTAACCATGAGAATTATATAGATACATAATTTTGCTCCTGCCAAATATGACAATTTATACATCAATAAATTTGACGTCTTGGTATGTAGGTATGTATGCCTACAAATTTAGGTTACTCTGAGGCATTCATGACAATGGTGTGATACATTAACATAACAGCCAGCAAGGTATTATGGTGTAACCGTGTCCATATGGTCAAAATTTTCCATATTTCTCATTTAATGTTTGAATTACAAGGCTATTTATGGGTTTATCATGGAAAGTGGGATTAGCATCAGAAGTAAAACATATATTACTATGGGCACTTGTGAATATGTGGTGATGTTGCACCATCATGGCTAGGGATCCGCACGGGTATACCCTGGGGTGTCGGGGACCTGACCCGCACCCGCACCTGGCAAAAACCCGTACCCGCTCTGACGGGTACGGGTTTTCGGCGGGTACAACAAGCTCAGACCCGTACCCGCACCCGTGCAGGGTTTACCCGCGGGTACCATAGGTATCACCACCAGTGCTTAGCACATATGTCCAGCACACGTCAGCGAATGCTGACGTGACTCGAACATATGTGGATGGCACAAGGAGTGGAGGCACGGGCAAATTTGCTGGCGCACGCTGGGCGTTCGCGCATGGCATCCATCGCGTTGGGAACGTGGCGAACTGCGAACGGTGGGTGACGACATGGATCAACATGGCTCTTGCTCGAACGAGGATCGACGGACTCACAGTCTGCGAATGGTGGGCAATGACTCGGATCAGCATGGCTCTTTCCCGAATGAGGATCAACGGACTGACCAACTGCGAACGGTGGGCAACGACTCGGATCAGCATGGCTTTTGCTCGAACGAGGATCGACGGACTCGGACTCATGAGAGCATGCACTGGATGCACGAGAGGGTGGATTGGAGCCATGAGAGAGGTGCGCAGGATGTACAAGAGGGTGCGCGCGATGTATGAGAGGGTGGAGGTCTGAGAGGTGCGAGAGGGTGTGCCAGATGTACAAGAGGGTGCACGGGATACGAGAGGGTGTGCGCAATGTATGAGAGGGTGCAGCGGAGGTCTGAGAAAACGAGCAAGGAGTAAAGACAAGAAAGAATGATAAAGGACAACTCACATGACAATAGAATTCAGCTGTGGGACTTGACAATAAAGTTACTAAAAATTATCAGTTAGTGTGATGAAAACACGCACCTTTGCAGCCCTAATACCACCAACTCCCCATCTAGAGTCGACTCTACATGCGCCGCGTGCGCGCGCTGTGAATGCACCCAAGCGTAGAATGGCTACACTGCGACTGTGACGGGTACATCACGGGTACGGGTATTTGCGCGGGTCACAAAATCCTGACCCGTACCCGTACCCGGCAGTACCCGTACCCGCGACCCACCGCGGGTTACCCGTACCCGTGCAGTTCCCTAATCATGGCTAGCAAGTACATGTAGCGCAGTTGTGTCCCGGCTGTTAAACATTCTCATTTCTCACTCTTATGCGTCAAATTAAAATGCTATTAGTGATGGACAGGTCCGGTTCGGTCCGGTTCTCTAGGAAATTCAGAGAACCGTGGACCGGACCATCGGTTCAGTTCTCTCAGTAAGCAGAACTGTGGACCGGACCATCGGTTCGGTCCAATAATGGTCCGGTTCCGGTTCAGCAAGGGTTTGAACCGAGAACCGGACCCAAAAAATGTCAAACTTCATATACATATCTTAAGTACAAACATTCCGTCCCTGATAGTCTCGTATGTAAGTTGATTTCTGTCTCGACTCGATGTTTCATATAACTCATGCATGTTTAGGGCCATTTGGCTCGCGTTCTCGGCCACTATTGCTATGTCCATTCGACTCTCGACAGCGCCTCGAAAACTTGCTCTGAATAATCAGCCCGATTGTTTTTGCATTGCTATACTAGGTCTTGTACTGCTACGAGCATTGAGTAAATCTTCAACCCCCGCGAGCTTCCTAACATCTGCTTGTTCAAGTCAAGGAATTCGGGCAAGTATTTGTTTGAAATGTCTATTAAGGTGCGTGGTCTACTTAGCATCATCTATTCACTGCAAATGACATGTTCTAGTGCTGATGTCAGTGCCCAGTCAGGTCCGCGTCCACTATGTAGGGAGTAGGTGAGGTTGACCTAGAGGTATATTGATTTGGATATTTTTGTCAGCTATTTGACAGGTTTGTCCCATCAAGAGGTCTGGATCCAACATTGACTTGCCGTTTCGCAGTTGCCGCCGGCGTTGTGGTGGTATACGATTGGGGTGAGCAGGACAGTGTTCGAAAATTGCTGATTTTCTTGTCATCATCATCGACGATGAGCACAGCCGTGTTACATAATATGCACTCTGCACTGCGCCTGGCCCATGTAAGTCTGGAGATCGAAATTTTTGTACCATCCCTTATTACTTGACAATCGGTTCGAACCTGTTCAGACCTGTTCGAACCAGGTTCGAGAATTCTGCAAGTCCTCGAACCGTGGACTGGACCGACGGTTCGGTTCCCCCTATTGCCTGAACTTTGAACCGGACTTTGGTCAGGTTCGAAACGGTTCGGGTTCGAACCATGGTTCAGGACTGGACCTGGCCATCACTAAATGCTATGTAAGCCTATTTCATGGACAGTGGCTTTAGCATCAGTAATCAAATATATGTTAATATGGAAGCATGCGACAAGATTGTGACTTTGCGACTTCACAGCTATTAGGGATTGATAGTGTATTTGTGTCAGCATTTTTCTTATTTTTCGTTGTTGAGATTCTTTCGGGGCTATTCAAGGCCTTATATATATGAATACGATGCCGAGCCAAACAGTTTCCAATATCAATATTTATCCAGGAAAGCAGGAACTCACCACTTTCAAGTTGAACGGAATTTTAATTGAGGGTTTCACGTGATACAAACAAACAACCTCGTCATTATTAAAAGTGAATGAGTCTGCATGAATATGAATCATAAGCACGATAAGGTACTTAGCGGGACTCGAACTAGTAAAGAGCGCTCCTGCGAGCGTACTATACAGCCGTTAGTAGTATAGAGCCCCTGGAGCCACTGACTTGTTCGAGTATACATATACTCTTCCGGCGAATGCCGGATACCATTATAAATAGATCGTTGTCCAAATCGGGACATTCTCTTCGACGATAACTCGATGACTTTTGTGTTCACTGTCGATTCGATTTTGTATCTACAAATCTATACAATACCAGCATGAATAATGATAACTACGCCAATGCGAATGGAGAGCTCGAAAATCAACATTACGAGGTACGTTAATCATTCTCTGATATCGGCTACTCGCTGATCATCAGTAGATACCTCAGCGTCTTCTTCGACACACTCCAAGGCCTCGGGAGGTGGTGTTCATGTTGACAAGAACCCAGCTGGTAAGTGATGCAATCGTTCGTTAGTTACAACACTGAAGTTTTGAAAGGCAATTATGTACATTACCTGGGCTGTCGCGCGACGCCATGTGCATCAACGCGTCTATCAACCGGAGTTGCCGTTCCCTCCCTACCCCCCGCATCCAGTCTGGTCAGACGAGGTACGGGCGATGATGATACTGTGGGTAGCGAGAGAGTGCCGCATGTTCGAAATGGAGATGGCTGAACTTGAGTATATACTGGGACTTGGAGGTGCTGCCCGTTAGTGCCTATAAGTAAGCCATTTTAAAACTAAAAAAAATCCAAATCGACTGACGAGTTTCAGAATGTACATACGAAGAGGATCGTAAAGATTCAGGAGGTAGAGAGTGGGATTGAGTGACTGCATACACTGGATAGATGCATGATATATGATGTACTAGATACCTTCACGAAGTTTTTTCAGCGGACAGGCGTGGCGTTGATAAATTCAAGTCAGGTTCGCCTGACGAATGTCACCCTCATAGATTGGCCTGCTGGTAGTGTCGGGCAGGCTTATTCAGCCCATTAGCAGAGACAGTCGCCTTGTGCCAAGGGTTCGCTGTAGATTACAGGTAGGTGGACACCGAAGATCCCAAATAATGAGTACGCGATGTCTTCTTGCAGTGTGGTGACACGAGATGATGCCCATTGAAGTCTCTGTCGAGCCTGGACGGAAGGAGATCAGAGCCCGTGCATCTATTCCAGTCGCATCCTGCAACTCCTTCATGATTGCAGGGGACTCTTTGTGGTTGGAAGAGTGATCGTCCAGATATAATGACCAATCATTCTGATAGAATAATACAACTTTTGGAGCAATGAACTCTTGAAAGGCCCATCCTCGCTGGTTCCAGACACTCCTCGCCAATGCGCCGGGATGGGATAAAGGAGGTACATCGGATAGGTATACAATGGTGAGCGCTGAATGGTGATACCAGACGAACATGGAGTTGACCGATTCTTGAAGCTCGGTGTTACTCCTCTTGTCGATGTAGCGTGTGTGCTGGTGGGTTGATATCGAGACTATGCAGAGCAGGGGATACGAGAGTGGTGGAGTGAGTTAGAGGTTCTGGCAGCGGGTTTGGAATGATGATCAGAGAGTCTATAAGGTCAATAGGGGAGAAAATGGAGGATTCGTGAGTCTTGGTCCGTGTACATCGATGCAACGTCAAATGCTGCTCTTGCATCTGGGACGAGGCCTTTTCCGCAGAGGGCAATACCCTTGGAGATATAGCCTGTCAACGAGGGCTCAATGTTAATGGACTGTGTCACCATTGACTTAGCCATTCATAAGGGAACGGAGACGGGTCAGCAAATCTCACATTCATTGCATCCCAAAGGGCATGGTCTCAGTCGTGTTTTCACGCCATAACGAATGAGCGATGAGCATAGGAAGTATGGTTATTCGGATTGGTGTTGATATCTTGGGTGAGTAGTTCTTCGGCGGTAGATAAGTCTCCATTTACACATGCAATACGGGCGGCCGTGATGGCTAGGATCTGCATGAAACATGCTCAAACTGTTATATATATTATTTGAAGACAGAAACATGCCTTCGAGCGATGGGCGTAAGAAGTTTGGCGGTAATATCTTGTGTGGGTAGTTTTTCGTCAGTAAATGAGTCTCCATCTATGTATGCATCACGGGCTGTTGTGATGGCGATAGTCTGCAAGAAGCATGCTCGAATTGTGGTATGTGAGTCAGGGACGGAAACATGCCTTTGCATGAGTACCTTGAGGTACTGCCCACTCTGAGATCATCTTATCATCGCCTCCGCTGAGGATGTGGTTGCCATCCATGGAGAAAGTGACACATATCGCGTCGAATGAGTGCTTCAAGATGGCAATGGTTTATCGATCTGAGAGCCGCCAGAGATGGATGTGTTGGTCAGTAGATGCAGAGGTGGCGAGGGTGCCAACAGGATGAATGGCAATGGCATTGATTTGGTTAGTGTGGCCCGTCCAGGGATCCCTGACCTGCTTCCATGTTGTTGTATCCCATTCACGTATGGTAGGATCAGAATCATTACCGCCTGTGAGAAGGCTATCGGGCGTCCACGCGAGTGACAAGTTGTATGATGTGTGACCCTCGACCCTCGAGGGATGCGACATGTTTCCTGGTGCCTGAATTGTAAATTTCGATATGGCTGTCTGTTGCGATGGCAATAAGTTCTCCAGACGGTGAATACTGTATGCAGTTGACACCACCACACATGATTGGATATCCTTGATGCTGCCGAGTTTGGGTATTCCACAGTTTCGTCATTTTGTCGCAAGCATTCGTGAGTTCTGATGTCAAAAAAGCCTGCAGCAAAGTGCAGGCTACCAATAACATCATGAGGCGCAGTGCACACAGGAATGTGAATGAATTGCTTACGCAGAGTCCACCATGCGATCTGTATGACATAAGCAAACCATCAGAGCGCATTGTGAAACAAATGTTTGATGCATGCAAACCTTCAGAAGTAGTGCGGAATACTGGGAGGTCCATGAATGCATTAAACAACTTCCCATATCTGTAGCGAAAGGCAACCCCGTTGCTAAAGCTGACGGAGGAGAGCGTCAGTGGAAGCATCCCAAATGAGAGAGAATGTACAGCGACTTGCGGATGAAAGGCGTCAAGATCTCGGCGCCCAACCTATATGTCCAGGTTGTCAAGAATTCCAAATCATCAGTGGCACTGAAGCCTTCTTTCAGTGCAGCAGCATGAATGTCAGAAGCGAACTGAGAAGGTCTGGAGTCAGAAGTTGGATAGCGAGCGCTATGGCGCATCAAGAGATGCACTGCATTGAGGCCACACCCTTCTGGGATGACGGGGGATGCGTCAGGAAGACCAAACGACTCCACGGAGTACATGGGTGACAAGTTGCCCCAGTGACATGTCACATTGAAAGTGCTGTCTGCACCGTCCGCTGAATTGGGCCTCGACAAGGGAAATATGTTCTCGACCTTAGAGAACGGGATGGCAGTGACAATGGCTGCAGGTTCAGCACCAGCTAATGTTGTTTAATCAGACCATAGAAATACAATTAGCATTATCACTGACTAGGCGTTGGATCTGCATAACCGACTTGAGATGCATCCGGGAAGTAAGCATCAACAGCAGTGTTGGTGGCACCGGGGGGAGGATAAGAATCAATGATGGTTGATCCTGCATAACTGGATGCTGACTCCTCCGGCGATAAGTGTTTTTTTTTCATCTGAGGTCCATTGAGTCATGTTATAGATACCTGCTGAAAAATAGGTTGGAAGATGTGACTCACGATGGCAGGCTCGTACTTGGGAAGGCCAACCTGATACTATCCGACTTGGTACATCTGGAATGACTGTTAGCGTGGACACTGAAACGAATGAGAACACCTACACTATACAGAACCACAATATTAGTCCAGGAGGACAGGCTCATGTGATGTCCCACGACAGGTTCTAGTTTCACCGTCAGTCAATTCAGACAAATATGACCCGAGGATATGCACTCAGTATCCTTGGATCTACAGACTTTGCTATCGATCAATTAGAATCAAGGGCACCGACATTCCGAATCAATGTAGCAGAGATTACTTATAGGCCTCTGTTATGAAGGTCTACAAAGTGTGCCGGTAAAGTAGGAGAGTTTTCGTGGGACTGCTCATTTGGGGGCAGATCACTTGGTGCCACACAACCATGGTCAGTAAGTCCATCAGCAGGTGCTTCTGCATACAAAGCTTCCTGATACCATGGAGGAGCTCTGAGTACTGTGTGGCCTCGCTCGTGCTGCAAATGGTGTGATAAGCTGGAACTGAGGTGAGTTAGGTTAATGAAGGGTAGGATATCACAAAATCCTGAGTAGCATACCGTTATGGTCACAGTAACCCTCCAATGCCATATGTGCTAAAGTTCAACTTGAAGGTTTCCAGGAGTCACAATACCATCTGATAGAACTCGTCAAGCCGGAGGCGCTGTCGACGGAGATGATCGACCTTTATCAGATTGATTGCATCGAATGAACCAAGTTAAGCTGCCATAAATTCTAATGAAGCGTCTGTATATAATATCCCAATCAAGGTTCAAATGTACAACAGTAGTATGATAGTTTGACTCACCGACTCAAATCGGACAGCACTGCAGGCGACCGCAACACGACTAGGCAGAAATGATGTCCAATAGCAAAGTCTAGTTGTCATACTGAAATAGCAAAGTTATTTCTTGGCTCACTTGACCATCGTCCAACTCGTGAGGGCTTCCGAGTCTGAATAGCTTCCTCTGGTCAATATCCACGGCGCCTGACCTGCTTTGACAGCACCGCCCCCACATATGGGAAGGTGCAAGATACTCAAAATCATCAATAGCCTTCTGGATAGTGAGGAACATGAGAGATTTTGGCGTGAGGTTGTTGTACTATGGATTGGAATAGCCAAGAAAACGGTGTTCAATGATGATGACTGCACCATTCTGTTGTTGAGTAATGAGACCATTGATGGTTTTATTGGTAGTGTAGGCTTCAAAGCCTGATGAAAATCAAGTACTTGAGAGAGGTAAAAATTAAGTAACATAGTACTCATGCCTCTGTCACCTCCAGGCAGGTGTCATCAAAATGATGGGGCCACTTTCAATGCACCATATGGTCAGAACCTGTATCTTTTAAGCAAAGCAAAGCAAAGAAAGCAACTGCCCGATCAAAGACATTGAGGCGGCCATGTATAGTATGAATAGCGGGGAGTCTGCATTTTGAGGTGACCTGTTGATCACAGTATGATGATTGAGCCTGAGAAGAATACCGTGACAATGAGAATACCCGAAGCACAGCCTGGGAACAACACAACTTATGCAACTCAAGAAGTGAGTGACATCAGAAGGGACTCTGACGTTCACAATTATGAAGCTAGAAGTGAAGATAGATAATTTTTACACAATGAGTAGTATGTGTCAATTGACCCACGCAGCGAACCTCAACTTGAACATCATCGCGTGAAGCGCCTGACATCAGATTTAGGGACGTTCACAATTGCGAAGCTACTAGTGAGTGAAGATCGATAAAGGGAATTTAAAAAGATGGTAGGTCATTGTCAAGGTCATCCTCGTCCCTACTCCCTTCATCCGAGTCTTCATCTTCCGTTTCGTTGTCACTAATCTCTTCGTCACTCTCTTCTTCTGCATCGCTGCATCCTGTATAACACTCTTCGTCACTGCTGACTTCGTAGTCCACATCTGCCTCGTTGCTATTGCATGTGATGGTTGTGCCTGGAGACTTGAACCCGAGACAGTCTTTGGTTATGTTGCGCAGCATGGCCGGATGACCAACACCAAGGTGAGTATACCGCATAAACATATCCCAATCGACAAATCTGACTCGGAGATTGAGAATCAATATATCATAAGAATAGATATTTGCGCTCACGTCCCAACGCAATATACTTCCCAATCATCTAACTCCCCTTCAGGACGCTGTCTTAATAACCGAGGGTCTTATATAAAGCATGTAAGAATGTAATGACACCACAATTACACTTGGATAAGACTTCTTGCCAGTCCTCGATTAACACGGTCTACGACTTTTCTAGTTTTCGTGGCAGATAACGTGTGAGTTCTTGGGAGGCTCGCTAAACCAATCAGGTGATCAACTTAGCCAGAGCTTTTATGTGTACCTCCAATTGCTTTGTCTAGGATTTGCTACCTAGATTCAGAACTGTAATCTGAAGTACAAATAACTTTGCCTAGATTGCACGTTCTAGGCACTGAAATGAACTGGGTAGATTTGACCAAGGCACGAGTTGGTCAAATAGGCACGAATAGGAGTAGAGACAAAGGGGTCTCTGTAATATCACATTGACCAAAGACTGGTTGGTCAAATAGGCACAAATAGCACTGGTGAGACAATGGTCTCAAGAATAATCACGTTGACCAAAGCACAAGTTGGTCAATCAAACAGTAAAACAGGAGAGACAATGGTCTCTAAAATCACGTGGACCAAAGACTGGTTGGTCAAATAAACAGTAACGTAAGCTTCTTATTGTAAGAAACTTGTATTCTCAAGGGATACATTTCCCTGCACTTGTTCTGCTACAAGTGGGAGATCTTAACAAGTGAGATGTCTTGTTCAACTGAGGGGGTTTCTCTGAGAAGAAAATTTCCTAGAAGAGGGATCTCTATTTTTTTGGGGAGAATGGGCTCTCCTTATATACATTTTGTGTGGGAAAGTAATGTAGGTTTGCAAACAATAAAATAAAGAGAGAACCAATCAGAATATTGGGTGAAACCCAATAAAAGTATAAAATACAAATAAAAGATGGAGCAATGACATCAGAGATGACATCATAGTGGAGCTAGAATATTCTAGAGCCTATGACATCATTATGACTTCATACATTACATCATAATTTCCAACAGAATAGTCTAGAACTTTCTGTGGAGCTATATGACATCATTATGACATCATACTCAGAAATAATATTTTCTGGAGTATCTGGTAGGTCATAGCATCCTAAATAAAAGAAAATAAAAGAACAATGCTAGAGAAAACAAGATAGAAACAATGATACAAATACAATATGCAAGACACGGGCTTTTTAGATAGGTTTTTGTTAGGCTTTGAGCTTTTCTCAATGGTTTTCTCTAGCCAAAGTGAATAAGCCAAAGGTAAGGCAATACCTTAACCTTCATTTTACTTCACATATAAACTAGGTCATTCTGTGATTCCCATTTCACATATGACTTTTTCTTCTTCTTCCATATAAAACTTGAAATATAGGACCGAGGTTTGATACCAAGGTATGGGGTGACTAGTCTGAGGACTGTGCTAACAGACATAATCTTTTGAGGGTTATTCCTAGTAGTAGTTATGTCCATGCATGATTCCCGTATCATGCAGGACAATGCGCGACCGATTTTCCATAGCGAAGGGAGCTGTCATATCCCACATTCCGGACCAACATCTGACGACGTTCCCACGCCTCATCCGGACCTCCGGACCTCCTGTCCATGTCTCCAGACCCAATCCTCTATCCGTCCGGATCCCTGTACTCCTGCATCTGATATCCGGACACCAGATCTGATATCCACATCTCCGGATCTCCGGATCCGACCTATCTGTCATGTCCAAACCCAAACCTTAAATCAGCGCCCATCCCCTTATGGTAATCACCTGTCTCCGGACTTCCGAACATCCGGATCCGACCCACGTCTATCTTCCTTGTGTTCCGGACCCAGACCTATCACGCATTCATCTCCGGACATCCGGATCCGACCCGCATCTATCTTCCATGCCTTATCCCTTTGTATGTTCCTTCTTGAGTTAGACTTCCTCATTTTCCGTACCTCATTTCATCTCCGAGTTCATTTCCTATGATCCGTCTTATTTTCTAATACATTTCCACATGCTCGTACATAGCCTTACCCCTCTGCTTACTGATCTGCACAGACTTGCCTCTAGTATATAAACCCCAGTAGATACTCCTGTATTTCCTCAGTCTGAATATCATACACATATTAGTCCTCGCACTAGTCTTCACACTAAGTCCTCGTAACAGTTCTATTCCTCCGACTTAGTAATCATCCATCTCAGGCCTAGGGAGAAATTCCCTAGGCCGGAGCTCCGCTCCTCTGCTCCTCCGCTCCTCCGCTCATCCACTCATCCGATCCTCCATTCCTCCGAGTTTCCGGAAGTTCCTCCGGAACTTTCCCGCGGTCCTCCGGACCTATCCTGCTTCGGACTTTGTCCTTGCAGCCTTTCCTCTGTTTCCTTCTACTCAGGACTCGTCCTGAGTAGCCATTATACATATCCCCGTCAGGACGAAACTCCATCATAATTTCCGGAAGTTCCTCCGGAACTTTCCCGCACTCATCCGGAAGTTTCTCGCACTCGTCCGGAAAGTCCTTCCGAAGTTTCCCACGCTCCTCCGGAAGTCCCTCGGACTTCACTGGACTTTCTCCGGACTTCATTCTGAAGTTAAGGGCACATACTCGGGTAAGGGGCGCAGCACACGAGCTGAAGCCAAGCCCCTTGGAATCAGTCCTACCCTTTGTGCATGGTCTTAACAGGAGCTAACACCGCAGCCTGAAGCAAATGCTGGAATTAAATGCGCACCTCGAATCACCTGTCCCGGATCAAGAAACCCAAAAGCATCCGCGTCCGATTCCTCTACAAAGGCGACCTTGGGAAGATGTGCATGTTTCGTGCCGGATTTATGGTTCCGCAAGGGGGCTAGCCATCTGACCCATAGAAGCTCTAGGTGTTGCTTCACAGGTTTCCCTCCGTCATTGAGCCATGTTTCTACATGATAGATACCTAATACACGAGCATACCAATATGGGTGAGTCATCGTTGTCTCACCTGAGAGTACCATGACATCGGCGTGTGTCCTGGGATTGATGGTATCATACTCGCGCCTCATATTGTACGTGGTGTAATGTACTTGCATGGTGTGAGCGGAGTAGATCATGTCGTTAGGAATGATGACTGAGTTATGCTCTTCATCTGTGAAGGTATGGTCGCAATGGCTGACGTCCAGCTTGCGCAGCCTATAAAGGATGTGATCCTTTAGTTTCAGTATGAATTTCTAGCAACTGCTGTAAGTAAACATGTCTACAAAATGTCACTCGACTTCTACCTTGAGAGCTGGGTCGTTATCATACTCCCGAAGGAACGTGAAGAGAACGACTGGATTGTTCCGATTGCTTGCGATATGGTAACGTTTTCCGGGATCAACTTGAACTAGTGTTTGATTGATGGAAGGAGTAGTATATGCTGCGGCCTCTGCCACTCGTCGAAGTACACAGCGCCTGTGTTCATGTTTAGCTAATTGCGATGGAGTGTCTTGTTTGTTAGTAAGCGGATAGAACACCTTCAGCGCGCAGTGCGCAAGCTCCCCCTGTACAAGAATTTCAGGTGCATAATAGAAGGAATATCGTTGATACATACAATTTGAGTAGTGAATGAATCAGTGGTCCCGAAGAACCTTATCGTCCTCACATAATCTCCCATCGCATGAAACTTATAAGTGCTCAAATTGAACTTCTTTACTTTGGGCCCCGTGGATTCTGGAGAGACATTGTGAGTTTCAGAACACTGCTCAGACCTTCTTTGACGAGCTGCTCTCTCTTTTGGTAACTCCAGAGTGTCGAAAGCAGTGCACGTGTCGGTCCGAAACTTTTGCAACTGCCAGGAGAGTGTTTTAAACGTTTCTTCCAGAAAAGCCAAGGTAGAATCTGAGTGCAACCTGAGTTTAGCAAGTGCATGCCACTCTGCAAACCGATATAGCAGAGACTGCACGGCTGCATCGTGGTTGGGAGGGAAAAGTCCTTCAAAAATTGGAATAGCACACTGGAGGGAATGGCAGTGAGCCTAAGCAGAAAATTAACAACGAAATTAACCTGTAAGATGTCTTCGAAATCATGGGCTGCCAATTTTTTCATTTCGGAAGTATTGTTCGCAAATTTGTGAATCACATCGCCGCCGAATGTCGGGACCTGGCGAAATCTGACACGAGATCGAGAAGTTGAAAACTTGTTAGAGTGTAATGATAATTTGTATGAACTCCACATACCTCTTGTCGAGGGTCGCGATAAGCTGAACACCTCCAGGGAGGGCATAAAGGAGCCTCAATAGGTGTGTAAAGAGTGCCTTCCAGGTACCTAGTTCGCACTCGTGCATCAGGTCGACGACAAGCATCCGAAATGGATTAAGGCCTAGAGGTCCCAGCTTCTCGACGAATTGATTCTGCAGGGACTAGTTTTAGCGGAACATATCTAATAGTATTGGACTTACCAGAACAGGCACCCATGAGCCTTCTCCAAGGGTGTCTTCAACCTTTGTACCATCGACAGTATTTCCCAATCCATAGATGAACTCGCGAGCCTTGGCAACCTTAGTTGTAACATAGACTCGAAGGTTACTTACACGGCATTTCATGTCCCTCGCGAGTCCCAGGTAACCAAACAAGTCTTTCGGTGTGAGGCAGTGAGGGCATGCACATGAGCCCATGTCTTTGATGGTCACAATCAAAGCCCTAGAAATGTGTGAGCCATCCGACACTGATAACAAACTCAATGGAAAATGCACTTCTCTGGATAGTCAGCTGAATAGGTGAAGATTCGAGGATATACTCTCCGCAAGACTCCATCGGCACATTTCACAACAAAGCCATGTCGATACACATAAAGAAATTCGGTGTCCAACAAGATTTCCCAGCACGCCTGAAATAATTCCCTTCGGCAGTGTGTGTGAAGGGAGGCCAAGCCGGTTTTTGAGATTCTAGGCAGGCTGCTTAGAATATCTTTAATATTATCAGGAAGCTGACGAAGATAGTCCATGTTAGCGGTGCTTGTTGAACATGCAATCAAGTGGGCTCACGGAGGGTAAAAATCCTATGAGGTGGCATGATCCCGATGTAGGTGACGAACGTAAGTATTTTGTGAGATTTCCGAAGTAGACATAAAGTGGCCAGGCCTTGGCAGTTCCAAAGTTCGCCAGGTGAGTAGCGTCGGAAAAGAACATCAAACCTGCGATTACGCGTTCCAATGAACACCCGGACTCCTTCGGCAGTTTTTGGAGATCATCCTGAGCTTCCAGCCAAGCATCAGAGGTATAAAGCTCATCGTATATTCGCTCTTGATGATCGTCTAGAGGATCCTTCCACAGACGTTTAAAGGGCAAAAGATGAAATGCCCGTGCTTGAGCATCTGTGAATGCGGCGCGTATGACTTCTACGAGAGGGCGATAATGGAACCCAGGAATAGTGTAAGGCCTAGGGTGGTCCTCCTTTGACTTCGTTGGAATATCGATCGTGATGCTAGTCTCAATCCAGTCATCTGGAAAGGTGATTCTCTTTCCGTTTTCGTCCTTATCCAGCTCTCGCAAACTCTGTCTCACCGAAAACCGCTGAAGGTGTTCGCGGTCGAAATCTTCCGCGAGTATGACATCTTTGACAAGGGCCGCAACTTTAGTTTCCAATATCTGACTGGTGCCAGAATTCATCCAAGACATCAGGCGATAAACTGTCATATTAGGAAAGGGGTATGGTGGAGCAAATACCCTTGGTGGAGAATCGGTTTCTTGAGGGGCAGTTGGACATGTTCTTCCAAGCAACGAGGATGGAACAAAACCATCTGGCTCAAAGGAGGGACGACGAGGGTATAGTCGGCTGAAGCCAAACGAGTTAAAGGGGGTTTGAAGCATGTCTCTGAGCATTAAGAGAATGTGTTGGAATCTGGATCGGGCAGGGAGGGTGGCTAGGTTTTGAGTTGACTGATTCTGATTTGTCTCGGAGTAATTGACATCTTCCTCTGAGTGCGCTATGTCGTCGAAAGACCTTGGGATTCGTCTTATAGGGTGTGCTGGTTCATCTGAATGACTCAAGAGATCAGAAATGGAAAGCAAATGGTTGCTATTGAAAAGAGACGATGAACCTAAGTCAAATCCATCTTCCATCTCAATATCAACATCATTTTGTAGAATTTCTTGGTCAAGGGAGTGTTGCGAGCCAGAAAGATTGGAAGTATCGAGGATAAGGGCAGTAGACCCTTGCCTTTGTCTTGCTGCCAGCGATCGGCGGGGGGCAATTGGTCTCGGACGGCCCATTACCTGATGTTCAAGTGTACATGCTGAGTTAGTACATCTAAGAATAACAGTTGCAACTCACATGTGAGGTACCCGAAGACAGGTCACCGTGGTGCTGAGGAGACCGCAAATGTGCAAGCAATGCAGCATCTTTGGCACGTTCCTGTCTCTTCTGAGTTGCATGAACACTAAACTTCTTATATAAATGACAGGATGCACGATGTCTGTTGAGTCCACGGGTATCTGTTGCCCTCTCCCAAGAGCAACCTGATGCACCACACAACACCATTGACAGAAATAAGCCAGAGAGAAGGGCGATAATCCAACTTGAACTTCGACTCAGGTACCCTGCGATACGCATTTGGGGCGCTTTGGAGGTGCTGAGAAAATGTAGCTCCTAGGTCCCAGTTGAGGCAGCCTCAAATATTTATACAAGCCTGAGCTTGTTGGACTCTGACTCGGATGCTAGCAAGTCACAGCTGAGTACTGATCAAGTCATGGTTAGGCCCGGGTTGCCATTTGAAAGCCGAATTGCTTACTATGATTAGTAGATGCTCACATCCGTACTACTTGACTGGAATAACTTGCTTAATTTACTGTTCAACATTGCAACGTTGAGTGCTAGCAATGACTTGAACTCACTTTGAACACTTTGAACACTTTGAACACTGCAAATCCGAATTGTGATGGTAAGAAGTGCTGAATTGCCCGAGCGTCAAATTATCATTTGATTCCGAGCCGATTCACATTCGGGTAATAACTTGTGACAACTTTGAGTCTACCCTGAGTCAGATTTCAGGAGTTTATCTCCTGCATTGACGGTCATATTGAATTCAAAATGTTCCGAGTCCCACTGACAGAGCTGAAAATGACTTGGAGTAGTATTCAAATTTTTTTGGTTGTAGGAAAACATTCTTTCCCAATTGAGCAAGTTGCTGCAGTTATCGACACTTAACAGCAGTTACCTTGAACTTTATTGCATATTTTGCATTCTGTCTATAGCTTATTGAAATATTAATGCCAAAGAATAGGTCCAGTGTGCTGGCACCAATCAACAATCGGGTGTTGCCGATCTGGAAAATGTATAAGTTAACTTTGAGGGGAAAATGGGACGCTTAGCCATTCATAATGTGTAATTCCGAGTCTCCATCGCCGTCGAAGTGCAGCGATTGGTCTTCCATCAGCAAGTCTCGGTTTGTCTACTTAACAATAGGTTGTTCATAGGACGTCCACTCATATTTTGCACTCCAGACGATTTGCCAAACCCTCCTCGACGCCCACCTTAGTTGAGCCTAGAAGCTCTCCTACTCTGTTGAACCCAACTGTTACTGGTGCATTTGCCCCTCAAGTTGAAGAGGGTAGCTCAGTAGCAACCATGCAAAGAAATTTTGTTCGTGGTTGTCGTAAGCGCTCCTTCCATTGTGCCTTCAAGTTATTCCAAGCCGGCGACCGTGACGAGGATTGCGACTTACCGACAAAAAGATTCAAGATTTTACAAACCACTGTGAGTATTTCTCGTAATCTAGATCCCAATCTCAAGTTCAAAATCTATTTTAAAGTGGAACTACACTCCTACGTCCGATCCTAATGGTTCGAACTATATCAACCAGCGTATGCTCGAGCTTTCCCGTATCACTCGCCGAGCCATTGCCACAAGAATGCGATACCAATGTATTCGTTCTCACGAACTAGATCTGATAAAGTCCATCCTCGAAGACGAAACAGAGATGTCCCAAAAGCACATGAATTGCATTGATTTGCAAATCGGTTCCCTTAGAAATATGCTCCACGATGGAGGAATGACAGTAATAGGAAACAAGGGATGCAGGTTTGATCGTAGCGACTATGGCCAGGCTTGGTGTGAAAGCTCTGATTTGTCTGGTAGCTTGATTGATGATAGTCGCTCAGCCTGCGAGTCAGGCTGTGCATCCGAGTCAGAGGAATGATTTAATCATTGACTCGGAGTATGTACTGATATACTATGTTTTACTTCCCATCTTTTCATAGCATAGTCGCATTGGCACCCCAGGCCACCATTACATGTCTATATGTAATTTTGCGCTAGCAGTAGCTTATTCAATCATCTTGGTCTGTCGGGTTTCGCAATTCCAACTTCAACAGCATGCTATCATTCTGTTCCTCATTTCGAACTTTGACACATTTTTTGAAATCACTGGCCTTTCGGTGAGCAACGAGAGTGACAGCGTGCACCAAAAGCATGCCACCAAGCCATTTTTCGACTTGACCGTAAGCATCAGGAACACTCTCAGAAAACTGATGGGCAATTTTATGAAAGATCTAAGATATACGTGGACAGTTGAAGTGCTACACAGGGCGCCCTGGGTTTGATACAGCATGTTGTAGGTATGACGCGGCACTGACCAGGCGTAGATGTGATACTTGAAGGGGGGGAGGTTTGACGTGGCATGGATGAAGTTTGACGCAGCACTGATAGTAGGCCTTGACACAGCATAAAGTGTGGATGTTGATATTAGTACAGAGACTGCGAAGATATTTGGGAGAACTTGTTGTGGTGTGAGTAGTGCTTGACCCAGCCTAAAGGAGGCTTCTGACATGCCATGGTTGGGGCTTGACGTGGTGGTGACAAGTATAGAGAGTAGATCGAACTTGACAGGGTGAGGTCGAGGCTTGACTCACGCGGTGAGACGACACTTGACACTGCATCTGAAAAACCAACCTTAGATGAGCGAATTACAACAATACAGGACTGGCCCCAAGAATTTGTTACAGTGCCATCTTACATATGCCGTGTCACAGGCATGGCAGGACCGTGTCAATTTCACCTGGGCCAGTAAGGTAGTATGCACGAGGTGGGACTACAAGAAAAAAAATCAGGATGCAGTGGCAATCACTGAAGAAAAATATGAAGGCGCCTGCTGCGAGGTAGGGTAAGAGTCAGCTGGTAGGAAAAGACACCAAGGGAAAAGATGTCGATGACAAATGCGAAGGGGATTCGACGCTAGATCTTGATGTGGACGTGCTGCCTGGTCGTGATGTGCTGTCCCGAAAAAAATTGACTGGCGGTGACAGCATATTTCATGGAGAGGCGGGCGTGGAATTGGTATTGAGGGTTATAGGGAGGACACAGAGAGGTGACGCCATTCATGAGCACTAGGGTTGGAAAAGAAAGGCAGTTCAGAGAGACCACAAGCTCGATGAGTAGGACAACGAAGACATGTAATTAAGACGACAACATGAAAAAAAACTCGTACCTTTCTCCGGCACAGTTTGCGGGGTCCAACCTTTACTAAATAACGTTGACAGTAGAATGGTTCTGAAACATTGAGAGCCGAATTTTGGAATGCTAACAAGTCACACATCACTCGCTGATCATCGATCAGTACTCAGTGATGTTTATTCAGTGATCCTCGACAGACCAAAATAGTAAAGTCACCAAATAAGCCTTGATCCGTGTTGCGCCGGAAGGGCGGTTTCAATGACCTTCTGCACGTTTCAATGTTCTCGACCTTATGTAATTATTCTCTTCACATGACAAACAGTAACTTTTACCTGATTTGAACGACTTTTTCGACTTTTCCGACTTTCCTGACTTTCCTGACTTATCTGACTTATCTGACTTATCCAACTTTTTGACTTTTTTGACTTTTTTCGATTTTTTCGATTTTTTCGACTTTCCTGACTTCTCTGACTTATCCGACTTTTTTGACTTTTTTGACTTTTTTGACTTTTTGACTTTCGTCTATCTCGCTTCAGAAGGTTCGCGTAGTGTCACTATGAATAGAATTTGGTCTGCTTATTACATATGCTGTTTTGTTCTGCCAGGAACAGACTTCGCCATCGGACATCATTTTTGCCGAGTCACGTTGTGGTCGCCTGCGGCTGATGCCTGTCCAATTTAGTATGCCTTCGTCATGACTAACCTCAAGCATAATCTCGTCATGATCACGATGGGGGCCTTTCATATCATGACATTGGTGAAGTTGAAGAATGACCATGAGTCATTGAACAATCTCCATTGAGTCGGTGAGTCAAACTATCATACTACTATTGTACGTTCGAACCTTGATTGTGATATCATGATATTGAATACAGATGCCTCATTAAAATTTATGGCAGCTTAACTTGGTTCATTCGATGCAATCGATCTGGCCAAGGTCGATAATCACCGTCGACAGCGCCTCCGGCTTCACGAGTTCTATCAGATAATATCGTGATTCCTGAACACCTGCAAGCTGAACTTTAGCACACGCAGCATGACCATAACGGTATCGTAGTACTCAGGATTTTGTTATATCTTACCCTTCAACAGCTATCGACTATCTAACTCACTCGAGTCCCAGCGTCCTCTTCCCACTTGAAGCATCCAATTCATGGCCACTTCATCTAAACTTGTGGAACTCCAACTTATACCATACGACCCCGACAATCCAAAGCGGCGTGCAACGCCTTCAGAATGCCAATCACACCACTTACAGCTGTACGCTCACGCTGGCAGTACGAGCGAGGCCCCACAGTACTCAGAGGCCTCCTCAATGGCATCAGGAAGTTTTGTATCCTCGGATACCAGCAAGAAAAAGGTCAAAAAGCTGGCTCTGAGTGATCTGCCCGCAAATGATCGTCCGGCTGTGAAATGGGCGCGGAAGCGTGTGGTGATGGATTTACTGACTACGGTTTTGTGGTCGCAAAATGAAACGGAGCAGGACATCATCTATCTCAACGAGATAGTTGGTCAAGCTAATGCAATGTTTGGGACCAGTATGTGTCAAGCACGTCACCGTCGCAGTACCAACTACTAATTACCATTCTCATAAACCAGATATAGTTTTGACGAAAGACCTCGCCGGTCTGATCCATTCAGCCCCTAGGCAATTCCGTTCCGACCTTATGCAACTTGTTGACAAGGTGACAAAGGAGTTCATGCTCGAACCCCCTGTCCCGATGTCCAAAGATTGCCGCGCAGCCTATATGGCGAACCGCAGAACAGTGCTCTTCGATTCATCCGAGGAGAATTGATGGCAATATTTTTTGCACGGTAAGGTGTTTGATGAGGTCTCCAACTGCGACAGGTTGCTCGTGTTTCAGAACGAGACTTTATGGAAAATACATATACTCCATTTTTATGGAAGTACTTACACGCCGCTTCGCGATAAGAGATTCTTAACGGAGCTCAACACGACAACATCTCATATGTTCTCCCACATCGCAGTTGGAGTGAGTCACAGACACTCTCGTGATCATCATGTTAACTATTTCTTTGTGGTCTTTAGATGGAATGTGGTATCGACAAGGTAGTAGAAGAAGCTATCAGGAGCCAGAAAACTGTGAAATTCCTTGGTGAACGATATGCCCAATGACAAGAATCCTACTTCAACGCTGTCGAGCATGCCTTAAAGCTGCCGATTTACAAGACTTCTTTACCGGTGAAGGTACAACAATTCAGAGAGTGAGTCTGAACAATGTCGTGTCTTGCAGAACCTAGCTGCTATTCGACCCTAAAGGGTTTCTGGACCAGGCTCAAGGCTCAGAGGAGAGGAAATATCATGAAAAACTGCTGAAGACTCAGACTCATACTGATAACTGGTGAAAAGATAACTTTCTTATGTAAGCTACAAAAGTGCCAACATAAGGTAAGGTAAAAACAGTCTCTACAAGCCCAGCCAGAAATGAATCCCTACATCTCATGGGAACTTTGAATCATGACTGTCCCCAGTCATCTACCTATGCAAACCAAAGCTAAGCTAAACTAAGAAAACTACTAACCTGGGGGTCCTCAAACACCTTTTGTTTCCTTGACGTGTATGCCAGGTAAACTGCGCCAGTGAGTGAGGGTTAGGGCAATCCAATAAAACGATGACCCCAGCACCTGTTTTCCCTGACATCTCTTGTGCCAGGCGAACCGCATCAGTACTGGGGGACTGGTAAAACGATAAAAACGATAAAATGCGAAGTGGTGGTTGCGCGGATGACGACGGGAAGTAGACGGATCGAAAGAGGCGAACGAGGGCTTCGAAATGAGTATAGGGTCGACTAGGTTTGGTGAAGAACTGAGGGAGATATGAAGGAAATGGTGAAAACATGCGAAAATAGCGAAAACGGCAAGTAGCGAGGGCGCGGGTGGGCGTATCGGGAAGCGGAGCGGATGGATGGAAAGCGGCGGTGAATGCGGTCAGAACGCGCCTAAGGCGATGGGCGCGCGATCACGGGGCGACGAGATATAAAGAAAACGCAAAAATTGGGGCGAAACAAATGGGGGGAACGCGAAAATGCGGATAGCGAGCGAACAGCTGAGCGCGCGAAGGCGCGGATATGCGCGAATGAAAGCCATGAACGAGGGCTTCAAAACGGGTATATGGTCTATGGGGTTCCGATGCGAAATGGGCTGGTGAAAGTGCGAAAATGTGCGGAGGTGCAAGAGGGAGGAGGAGGAAGGGGTATGGTGCAGGGCAACAAGGGCTGGTCCTATCAAAAAGCGGCTTGGGGCAATGGACAGAGCCACTGAGGGATGGTAAATGACCAAAAGAGCTAGATGAGACAGGCCTTAGAGCACCCAGAAAACCCTTATCTCTCCTCAACTTCTCAAAAACACCAAAAACTCAATAACTCCACAACTACTGCTCCAAATTCGATAACCCAGGGCTCAAAATGACCGTACGGACGTGGGAAATACGACCCTAAGTTTGCGAGAGATCCGCTCGAAAACCGCGTGAGAAAAACGCTTATCAATGCGCTGGGGAGGAGGAGAAGATGCTGAAAACTTGGGAATATGGGAGAAGCTGGTAATGAATGACTGTGGTAGGATAATAGGCGAATTTGGGGGATGATTGGTGAGCTTAGAGAGCCTAGAAACACAAGAAACCCTCGCGGTGGGCTCCAGTTGAAGGTACAACAATTCTGAGAGGAGCTATACGAAGATGGCTCCAAACTGATATATCTGTGTTGTGGTCTTTGCACTGCCTAGTCTGCTATACTTGCCTGACAAGTGCGTTCGACCCAGGGGTCTGCGGTCTGGGAATAGTCTTGGGGGTAAGTGAGTGATGTGCCATCAATAGTCCGAGCGTGGGAAACAATGTCCAAAGGTATAATTACGATGTCCGATGCAAAAGCGTCGGGTCCGATGTTTTCGGGGTTTCGGGTTATCGGGTTCTGGTTCGGGGTGTCGGAAACTAATAGTAACGCTATAGCGAGCGTCGGAAGAGCGAGCAGTGTGCGCAATAATAACAATGACTGATACGGGCGGTGAAGGAACGATGATATTCGCAATGTCAACTAAGAACTACGAAATATCGGGTTTGACCACTAAGCGTCGGGGAACTGCTCCCCTCTACTTGGATAATGAATAATGCTCGAGGTCAGTCCAATATATATGTAAGTACGTAGAAATGCGGAACCCATAGGCGAAAGTAGCGGCGGAGTATTTCGGATCCGAAGTACATGTAAATAAACATGAGGCGCTGCGGACTATGGGAAAACATGTAATAGCGCTGGCTACGACGTGAGTAATGTGCGAAATAATGAACTACACACCTAGTGGGGCTAGCAAGACAGGACGGGACACGGATAGGACAAGTGCGCGGGAAAACATCGGGTCCGATGCGGCCTAAACGTCGGGTTGGCGGGTTAGCGTCGGATAACATCAGGAAGTGATTAGCATGTGACGGGTATTTGACGTGTACTGTAAAATAGCTCGATACGAGCCCAGCGCCAGCTCGTGTCCTACACCGGCACACTTTGTAGACCTTCATAACAGAGGCCTGTGAGTCATCTCTGCTGCATCAATTTGGAATGTGATGGCCTGACCACGTTCATATTTCGTAGTCAAGTCTTGAAAGACAAGTTGGGCTGGTTGCCTCCAGAAAAGCCTATTTTCGTGCCTAACTCAATGGAGCAGTTAGTAAGACCCCGGAATGCAGATACTACTAGTAATAGTAGCGAGCTGCACATACTTCAGTCAATTTCCCATGTAGAACCAGTGCCCCGGATGTGCCAAAACCCTGTAGAATCATGGCCAGCCAGTCCCCGGCCGGTCTATGTAGAATACATGCTGGCCGGCCTTGTATAGTAGTAGTCCACATGTATAATACACTACCATACTATTGTAAAAGCATGACCAGCCAGTAGATGTAAGACAACTGCCGGCTGTAGGTATACCAATATCAAGGCTTGCTGGTGTATTAGGATGCTGACTGTTTCACATCTATATTTGTAACTGGCCAGCCTTTCTTCTACACAGGCAGACGTGGGGTGGCCCAATATGTGGGATTAAGATTATACTGGCCAACCATATCTCTACCTCAGTAGAAACCAGGCTGGCCAGTATGTAGGTCTTAATCTAGCAAACCGGCCGCCCTGCATCTACCTATGTATGGGTAAGGCTAGCCAGTTTGTATGTTTTGAACTAGCATACCGGCCGTCCTGCATTTACTTATGTAGGGGCCAGGCTGGCCTGTTTGCAGGTATTAAACTAGCATACCGGTCGTCCTGCATTTACCTATGTAGGAGCCAGGCTGGCCTGTTTGCAGGTATTAAACTAGCATACCGGCCGTCCTGCATTTACCTATGTAGGAGCCAGGCTGGCCTGTTTGCAGGTATTAAACTAGCATACCGGCCGTCCTGCATTTACCTATGTAGGAGCCAGGCTGGCCTGTTTGCAGGTATTAAACTAGCATACCGGCTGTCCTGCATTTACCTATGTAGGAGCCAGGCTGGCCTGTTTGCAGGTATTAAACTAGCATACCGGCTGTCCTGCATTTACCTATGTAGGAGCCAGGCTGGCCTGTTTGCAGGTATTAAACTAGCATACCGGCCGTCCTGCATTTACCTATGTAGGAGCCAGGCTGGCCTGTTTGCAGGTATTAAACTAGCATACCGGCTGTCCTGCATTTACCTATGTAGGAGCCAGGCTGGCCTGTTTGCAGGTATTAAACTAGCATACCGGCCGTCCTGCATTTACTTATGTAGGAGCCAGGCTGGCCTGTTTGCAGGTATTAAACTAGCATACCGGCCGTCCTGCATTTACCTATGTAGGAGTCAGGCTGGCCAATATATATGTACATAGAGCGAGGAAAGCCAGTTTATACTCAAGTCATAACTTATCACCAGGCAGTGCGAGAGTCTAGACAAGCATATGTAATTACTGTACAAGATTGACTAGCAATGAAGACAATGGAGGATACAAGATCATATCTTCTGGGATCTCTTAGAGGGTTGCCTCGCCCTACCTGATCTACGAACCACAGGCTCAGTCCTAGGCTTCTTGGACTTACTTGATGAAGCATGGTTAATTTTTCTCTTCCTCCCTTTCTGCACCACCTCTTCAACCTCCTGCTCCTGCTGTTCTTCTCCCCCAACTACATTCTCCTCTGACTCAACATCCTTCTCCTCAACCTCATGCCTTTCCTTCTCTACCACCATCCTCATCTCCTCATCCTCAACCTCGTCACTGAGTCCCTCTTTGTTCAGCCTCTCAATCTGACCAACAACTGAGAATAAGACTTCCCGGACAGCCTCATCCAGAGCGACCAAGAACTGTAGATCAATAGCAGAATGAGGTAGGTAGAAAGGGGTATTGGGATCAGCCTCGTCTTCCTCATACTCTATCACACGCTTAGACTCCCTATAGAGGAGCCCAATTCCTAGTATTACTGGCATTGCCGATGATGGCCCTGAGATTGGACAGGTCTGTAGCTTGTTTAAGCTGGCCATCAATGTCGCATATGAGGTGTGAATGTCCTCGGAAAGATAATTTTCGCTCCAAGACCAGTCAGCCCAGGTAGGCAAATCTTGGTGTCGCTCTGAAATTGGCTGTTGGACATATAAGCCATAAAATTGAAAACAGCACCAAGTGACACTAACATTCTGTTTGGCTAATATTGCCAGGTCCCTAGTGGCGTCCACAAGCTCCAAGTAGTTTTCATTCTTGCTAAGGGTTTCTAAAAATGTGTATCGGTCATTGATGGCAACATCATCTGGTGTTGTCTCATGAGCGGCCGGCTGTGTTGTACGTTCTGTGAAATGAGAGGCAAATGGAGCCGGCCGGCCTTGATCTTCTTCATCTAAGTCTAGGGTGCTCACTACTTTCGTCTTGGACTTCCCAGTGACCCGAATATCAGCATCCTTGGCCTTAATAAAGACAACTAGCTTCTGATTTGTAGCAGAACATCGTTCCCAATGCATCCATAGACGATTTACCTCCTCTGTCTTCATATGAGAAGGGTCTTTGACCACAAATCCTGTGGGAACTGAACCAGGTTCCAAATAATTGGACGGGCTGGCAGTTATCACGCCCCAAGGTACAGGTCTAGAGCCACCTGTGCAGACTTCTACAAACCATTGAGTCAATCAAATGTCATGCACATATTGAAGATGTTAGATCTTACTGTATGAAGTATGAAAGATACTTCTAATCAATTCGTGTTGGCCCTTGAGGCCAATACCATCACGAAGAGGAAGTTTTGCATACCCCTCATCATCTACTATGATTTCAGGTAAGACAGGTCCATCCTCACAGTCTGAAGCCGCATGGTCTGAATCCTCTGAAGGGTCTATCAATTTAATAGTCAGTGAGCATGATATTTAAAATCAAATGAAACACGTACAAAATTCAGTCTTAGACCATTCTCCAAAGGATTCAAATCCATTTGCAGCCCACTCCTTGATACCACTCGAGCTCACAGAAAATTTTTTCTTGGCATTCTGAGGCGTAGTTTCGTGTCTATAGTAGTTTAGTTAGTCTTGAGATTTCCATGTTGATTTGATGACTTACAGACTGACGGACAATGTCTGACTAGCTTTTTTCTTATGACTAACAAGCATTACTATGCGACAACCCATGGTGCGCCGAATTTGCTCTGCAAAATCTTCCAGAGTTTTCTTGAGGTTATTCTTACAATATCTCAAGCCAAAGTGTTAGACTGGAATAACTGTAGATTTGAAGTAAAACTTACATTGCCTGAGTTTCTTCTGGCGCCCCCTCCTCATTCCATTTCTTCATGGCAAACTTGACCTCCTGCTGTTGTGAAGGTGTCATGTTGTTGAACCACTCCCTGGCATTCCCAGTGCGGTACTTGATTGAATACTCCAAGCCTTTACTCTGTTGTTGGGCCTTGTCATATGAGTCGATCTCCTGCTTAAATAATTTCTGTGCTACATCCCACTCAGACAGGGGTTTCTTATAGAAAGATGGTTCTCTTGGGCGACTCGCTGCCTCACGTTCGTCTGCCTCTTCCTTGTCTTTGAGACTTTTGGCATAGTATTCTTTTATTGCCTGTAGGTAACATTTATGTATATCATCAGACAACTAAATACATGTACAGTATAAGAATTTTGTGACCTTTTTCAAGGAAGTAGGCAAGGCAATGGGTTCCTCTTGCTCGTCTTGAGCAGCTAGTATGGCCCTCCGAATCTTCCTCACCACAGGCTTTCCAACAGATGAGGAACCTGCAGCAAAAATGGCCTTAGAGTGAAGGTCGAGAATTGGCTTAAAGGCAATAGACCAGTCGGTAGACATCGTAATTGATTCAAGATAAAAATTGCAGGTAGGCTGGTACAGGCGGTAGGAGGGTGGCTAGCCGAAATTAATTTGAACACCCATGTTTATCAACAATAACGTGTGCGTAAGTCCTTCTTCTCTCGCGTCCGTTTGCTAATGTCTGTTCTATTTAGTATTCTGCTTATTGGAACTGGGGGTTGCGCAGTGCATGCCACTTGTCAGTGGCTCCTGCTTCTTGAAATTGGCGGTAGCGCAGTGCATGCCACTTGTTAGTGGCTCCTGCTTATTGGGACTGGGGCTCAGCGCAGTGCATGCCACTTGTCAGTGGCTCCTGCTTCTTGAAATTGGCGGG